GCGCTTAGAGGAGCCAGGTCCAGGCTGGCATGGAGGCTTCTAGGGTTTAGGGTTGAGGTGTGAGCCCTGTGGGGCCAGGGGAAACTGTCGAGCCAAGGGGCTGAGTCGAGTTGCGTCTGACACGTGCATCCAACATGTCGGGGAGGGGATGTTGGGGTTAGGGTTCTTCGCATTTAAGGCTTCGGGTTAGTTCTCTAAGTTCTGGTCCCTTTATGGCTACAGCGCATAGAGCTCTTCGACTTGCGCTAGGACGCACAGGAAACATCATGCAGAGAGCTGGAAATATTCCACGTCTAGAAGCCTCTTGCTGTCTTGGACTCCTTTAACAAGCCCAGAAGCCCACTCCCTGCCTTCTACAGCTGCAAGCATGGCCCCCAACTCTGCGATGTCCTGGCGTTCTCACCAAGCCGACACATGAGCTGGATCCACACCTTTGAGCCCTTTACGGGGTTTAGGGTTTAGGGTTGGGTTTAGGGTTTAGGGTTTAGGGTTTAGGGTTTAGGGTTTTGGGTTTAGGGTTTAGGGTTTAGGGCTAGGGTTTAGGGTCTAGGGTTTGTTTGGTTCCAAACCTGGCGTGGACTGCTACAGTGCTGCTATCTTCATGACGCATCATGCTTATAGCCTATGTGGATATTTCCCAAAATAGGGGGCCCATTTCGGCCCCAAAAAAGAATAGAATCCCCTTAAAGGGACGTACCCCTAATTTCCGAAACCCCCAGATGGAGCTCCCGGAACCCCCCTACACCCTAAACCCTAAACCCTAAACCCTAAACCCTAAACCCTAAACCCTAAACCCTAACCCTAAACCCTAACCCCCCCCCCCCCCCGGCTCCTCGAGATGAACCGCGCCCTCGAGCAGCTGTAGCAAGAACTGTGCCCGGAGCATCTGAAGGAGCTCGGTTGCCTCCAAGCAGGTGGCGGCTTACGAAGGTAAGGGGGTTTAGGGTTTTGGGGTTTAGGGCCCTTAATAGAGTCCCCCAAGTGGTAGGATTCCCTTATAATCAGGACCCCAAGAAGGTACCCTTAACTTCTGAAACGTCCATCTGAGAGTTGTCAGGGAGTGACAAACGTAGCCTAGAGGGGCAGGCAGGAGTAGGTGAGTCCAAGTGAGCGGCCGGCTTGTTTGGTCCAGAGTCGCTTGGTCACACTCTAGATGTTGGGTTTCGGGTTTAGAGTTCAGGGATGACCGTCGAAGCTTAAAAGCGACCCAGATGTAATTCATCGGATCCGGCAAGCCTATTTCTTGGCAAGAAGGCCACGAGCGGTAACTCTGGGCACTGAGCGGGTGCAGTTACAGTACTGTTCAATTCCAATACCAAAGAGCGCTTTTGGTACCTGATTCCAGAATAGTACTTGAAATGGACTACAAGGGGAACTTTTTGGAGCCACAGCTTGTTCACCTACGCCTGCAGGACCCCAACTGCGGGTGTTTTTTTTCGGCACCCGACTAGCCACAGCACAGCGGGGTTTGAAGGTAGGTCTGGGAAAATTCTAAGAAACCCGCAAGGTCAGGCTGTGGTTTAGTGTTTCGGGTTTCGGCTCTCACGCTCGCCACAAGGCAGGCAAGTTTTAGGGTTTAGGGATTAGGTTTAGGGTTGGAAAGCTGCTTTAGGGATCACCATCTCACCATCATCGGAATGCTAGAGTTGTTGAGTCATACGACCGCTCTGCATGGTGCGATCTGCTGCAATCTGCGGGTTGGCTGAAGCCTTATAAATGACTTCGAGGAAGCAGAACCCTAACCCTAAAGCGTAAACCCTATAAACCCTAAACCTCCTCAAGTTCTATAGTCCCTTAGTCACAAGGGCCCTACACTAGCCAAAGCAACGACACCTAAAGCCACCAAACCCTACAGCCAAACTAAGGAGCATGTGCACGAAAAATAAGCCCCACGAGGCCCCACTCATTCCACTGCGAAAAGCCCGGCCTCCGACAGATTCTCCTCATCCACTTCCGCATGAATGGCTTTCGCAATGGCCCGCGCCTCTGGTCCATGAGGCAGGAAACGGGTTCTCCAGTCGGTAAAGTGGGGTAGGGTCCCTAAACCCTACAGTATAAACCCTAAACCCTAAACCCTAAACCCAAAACCCAAACCCTAAACCCAAACTAAGAACCAGTAAGTGATGACGGTTTCGAGACCGAGGCCACCGCGCACGCAGGGTTTAGGCGGCCCTAGGGGGGGGTCTTGTCCAGGGTTTACCCAGATGGTCCACTCTTGGGTGGTTGTCAAAGTTATGGTTTTGGGGTACCCTAAATATTAGGTGCCGTATTACAATCGGGATCTAGGGACCCGAATTTTGACAGCCACCCACTTGTAGTACCAGCATGGATATAGGCCCTGAGCCCTAAACCTGATCATGTAGGTTTTGGGTATCTACTTCCATAAGCACGGTTTAGCGTTCACCGCAGGCGTCGATGATTCCATGGACACGAAACTCTTCCAGAGCATGCACAGCACTCTATTCCTGAAATTGTCTCTACTTAGGGAAAAGAAAAGAAAGGTGAATGGTCTCATGGGGTACAAGAATCGGCCTTCGCACAAAGAACTGCTCTCAAGCTCGCACACGCCAATTTTGACAAACGCCTGTGCTTTTATGAATGGGTCTCCAAAAAGATCTCTTTGTACGCGCGAGAACACGCATGTGAAGAGTCGTGTACCTTATCTCAACCTTGCTTCCCTCCCTCGTGGGTTTAGGGCTCAGGGTCTTCTGCTCAAGAGCTCCTGAAGGGTGGCCCGGAGCCATGGGGGATTGGAGTCCTAATTACCGCAGTGCCCAGCACCATCCTCGCTTTGAGAGCTCACAAGGCTTGTGCTTTCTTGGAATATGAGATTTTGCCGTATCTGCAGAAGCTTCAACTCCGGCAGGCGAAGGGGCTCAGTTAGAGCCTGACATGGGCTTGTCCGTGGTCGGAGTTGTGTGGGGACTCACTTCAGGTCAGGCGCAGCATAATATTCCTATGGGCTTCAGCTGCAACCCTTTTTACGGCTAGGACTGCTGCACTGCCTGCCAGGGACGAAAACCATCAGCTGCAACCCTAAACCCTAAACCCTAAACCCTAAACCCTAAACCCTAAACCCTAAACCCTAAGCCCTAAGCCGAACGGAAGCCCGATGCCTTTGCACGGCTCAGGTCGATGCCAGCTCTGCCAGGGTGACCTCAGAGGGATCGTCTGCGGCGCTGCCTGAGAACGGGCCGCGAGTTGATGCTACACAAGCATCACGGCATGCATATATATATATATATACACATATATACATATATAAATATGTATATATGTATATATACATATATACATATATATATATATGTATGTATTTGTGCAAGCATGATGCATAGCATCTGCTTGATATACACATTTCCTACGTCCTAAGCGCTAAAACTTCACAAACCCTATATCAACCCGTGCCCAACCGCAATGACTGCACCTTCGAGCCTCTACTCTATAGCGAAGTCCAGGGCTTGAGAAACCCGAGTCCATTGAGCTTCGCGCTGGCTGCAGCACGCAGCTCATCAAGCGCCTGGAACTGCCTCGTCGCCATGCTCACGGCCGACATTTCTGGCAGTTTATGGGTTAGATTAGGGTTTAGGGTTTAGGGTTTTGGGTTTAGGGTTAGAGTATGTTAGAGTTTTTTGGGTTGCTCGGGGTCTTCGCACCCAGAAACGGAAGTAACAGGGTAGCGCATCATGGAGAGCAGGTTTTGTAATTACTGGGTGGCGGCCGCTGTAATCCCTCGGCTGCACTTTGGTGCCTGGCAAGGTGGCCATGGACTAAGCCACAGGGTAGCAAAGCATGGGCTGCGCTCCCCCCCCCCCATTTGCAGCTAAGGGTGGCGCATGGCGTTTGTGGCCGACTTCTCGTGGCCTTGAAAGGCACGTTTTTTTATTCATGTAACCCGAATCTACTAGTTGCTTAAGAACCCCAAAAGAATAAACATAATAGTCCCTATATTACCCTGAACAATATGAGGGTTATCCCAAGGGCGGTCATCAATGGGCTCAGCACAGATTGTACCCCAAGCACAGGATGTAAAGAAGCCACATCGGTGTCTTGGCTCAAGGCTAACATAGCGGCTCTGAAGCAACCTGGCTTCTTGGGTTTAGGGTTTAGGGTTTAGGGGGGGGGGGGAGGGGAAGGCCTCATTCAACAGCCACCTCCGAGGCCGGCCATACATGATGGACGTCGTAGGGTCCGAGCTGGGTTCAGTCGACACAAGGCGCACGAAACCGCAGCGCAATGAAGCTTGCTGTAGGCTTGCCTCACAGCCCCCCACCCCGGGGCCCCTCATCCCCTGAAAGCCCCCAAACCTGAAAACACAACCATGTACCCCACGAAAGTCCACATCCTCGAAGCAAGAGCCACACCTCCACCCAAAAATCCCGGAGCTGTAGATGTTGAAGAGCCTAGGTGCCCTGAAGCACAGAAACTCCGACCTCGCAAGCTCATCTGCAAACGGCATCGAGATCTGAACTGTCTTCTGCACTGCCTTGGCTTTCCTCGGTCTCGCTCAGGTAGGCTAAAGAAGGCTTTGGAGTTAAGGCTCACAGTCTCTCTCGAAAACTAGTCTTGGGAAACTTCCCCTATAAACCCTGTAAACCCTATAAACCCTATAAACCTTATAAACCCTATAAACCCTAGAAACCCTATGAACCCTATAAACCCCTATAAACCCTGAACCCTAACCCCGTCGGGAGTGGGCTGGGCTGGTACGGAAGGTGGACAGTGCCATCAGCAGACAGGTACAAGACGGCTTCTCCACCGAAGCCTTACAGGAAGGAATGCTCCCCAGAGGAAGGTTTACTGGGTTTAGGAAGTAGTTTAGGGTTTAGGATGGTTTAGGGTTTGGGGTTTGGGATTTGGGGTTTAGGGTTCGCAAGGTCTAAGGTTTACTTTCTGAGGGTGAAGGATGCCGCACCAGCAACTGCCTGTAAGGAAGTGGTGGTCTCTCAGTTGCATATCTACCGCCTGGCGCCTTTTCGGAACAAAAGCGAGAGCTCCCAAATCCAACCTGACCGGAATCCCCTCTCAGCATTTTGCTACAGCAGGCTTCTCAGAGTGCCACCGACAGACTCTTGAACCGTGGTAGCATGCCTATTTCCAGCAGGACTCCACACCACTCTCTCAACTTTTTGAATCTGAACAACCCTGAACCCGAAAGCTGGAATGATAAGGCACAAGCACTCTTGCACATCTTCAAAAAACCGACAGTTGGAGCTCACACATTTGCCCCGTCGGACACCCCCGTCTCTTTGACATCCGGGCTTCGTCAGTAGAATTTCCCCGAAGTCGCTGCTCGAATCGTCGTCGTCGTGTTCCTCCGCCATGACCGACCTGCCCACTGCGACTGGATGGACAACGCCATGCCAAAACTTGCAGAGTTTGTGTTTTTCCCTGGTGCTTCGTAGGTCCCTATAAGCTTTAACAAGCCCTATAAGCCCCAAACTAAGCCCCCTCTAAGCCTTGTAAGCATCGAAAGAGGAGCCTACAGAAATGCTCACAGGCCTCTGATCTATCAGCGCCGGGCTTGGTCCTTCATCCATGTCAAGTGACTGTTGAATTCAGTAGAAAGCCGCCACAAACCCCCTCTAGACCCTCCTTCAAACAGAGCAACCCTATGTCGAAATGCAGTTTTAGGGCTTGTTAGGGCTTTCTTGTGGCATACTTCATGAAGGGATGAGTGGATCCCTGGTGGTCGAGATGCTTTGAGGCTTGGCCTCTGCAGGGCGTCGATTGAGAAACCGTTCGCGTGGATCCTGCGACGAGGGCGGTGGTTTGGTTGATTTCGGGTTCGGATTTTTTTGGTTGAGGTCGGAGGTTGGGTGACACTAAACCCTAAACCCCTAAACCCTAAACCCTAAACCCTAAACGAGTCCGCCTGGGTCTACGCGCGACTGGCTGGTAGCTGAGGGTTCCGCCACTTCGGTCACAAAGAAAGGGCGGCCTGTCAATCTCCTCCAGGGTGAAGTCCTCCCCGCACAGTGTCCGCCTGTTTAGTTAGGGTTTAGGGTTTGGGGGTTGGGGTTTGGGGTTTGGGGTTTGGGCTTTAGGGCTTCAAAGCACATTTTGTGGGGTTCGAGGTCTTAGGGCTCAAAGCCCAGCAATTCCACAACTCACGGCCATGCCACCAACTGAATCAAGGAACCGGCTCAACGTGGCAGTGATTGTGGCTACATTACTTAGAGTAGCCCAATGAGGCCTCTTGATCTCCTCCAAGGGGATACCACAGTCCTCCAGCCTTTCAGTTCCGCATTGGGCCGCATTGTGGACTTCTGAGAAGTAGCACTCTAAACGGTTTACGGTTTAGGGTTTAGGGTTTGAGATGGAGGCTTCTGTTCAGCATCGGGTTTCATTGCCGGTCCTAAAGGGTCCGAACTATGGTACTCAAAAACCATACGAGTAGCTCGTAACGAGGGACACGGGCGTGGACACAGAAGCCTACAAGGGGACATACAAAACTCAGCTGGCTGAGGGTTTAGGAACCAAAAGCCGATGGGATGTGGTGGGGGGGGGGGGGGGGGGTTAGGGTTAGGGTTTGGGTTTAGGGTTTAGGGTTTAGGGTTTAGGGTTTAGGGTTTAGGGTTTAGGGTTTAGGGTTTAGGGTTTAGGGTTTAGGGTTTAGGGTTAGGGTTTAGGGTTTAGGGTGGTTTTGATCCAAAGCCTGGGCCCTGGGGCGTTTTTCCCACCCGCATGGCTGGACGAACCACTCAGCAGGGACTGAGACGGGTTTGTATGGTTTTGGGCTTCAGGCTTATAGGATCTCCTCGTAGTTATGGCATAGTGTACTGTATTCCCCATGGTCGTGTCAGGTACCAACAAGGGCCTCGATGAAGATCAGCCCTGAGATAAACTTCCCATGCAGAGAAGCGCACCCATGTGTGACCATGCCCTGCAAAGTTTCCGCGTAAGGGCCAAATTCCTCAAGGCCTTTAAGAGGCCCATCACAAAAGCGCACATCGAGCCACCGCCATCCCCAGCCTCAAACGATCCTCCTCGTCCATGTCGTTGATGTTCGGCGCTAACCTCAACCGATAGTGGCGGGTGAGAGATATTGGGGCAAGTTGTTACGCATGTAAAACATCACAGATCCCGATTTGGACTTGACCGAGATTGTAACATTGGGCAGTTCAAATGTTTACAGATATCATCCCAGCACAATCCCCAACATAACAAGAGTGACGACAGTACCCAGTCTAATTCAATAGGCCACTTTTGTGGGTCACAGGGAGCTTTGCCACCTCCGGCCCTGAATCATTCCAGCAACTGCCGGTCCGTGGCCCTACCCAAGCTTCGGGAGACTGCGAGTATTGAGGGCTCAGAAGCCGAAACCCCCGAACCCTCACGGAAACACACTTGCCTCAAGCTGGTGTGCCCTTGAAAGATTCCCTGGGGGACCCTCTTTACCTACAGTTTGATGGGTTATGCCTACGAATTAAGGGTATAGCTACTACTAAACTACTAAACCGTAGGTAAATAGAGTCCCGGGAATCGTGCCTGTTCATAGACTCGGAGAGGCCAGCGGAGTTCAGCCTGGCCGAAGGGCGCTTCGGGTTTAGGGTTTAGGGTTTAGGGTTTAGGGCTCGCGACGCCTTGCAGGGCACCTACCGGCAGTCCAAAGTTTTCGTCGGGAGCTAGCGCACATCCCCACGACCCGGCTTTTGCAGGCGGGCGAGGGGGCCGAATTAGGCTGAGTTCATTATCAGAGGACTTGTCGAGAGCTCAAAGTGCCCTCTGACATCCTCCACACATGCGTGAGCTTTCTGGATTGGACTCGTGGCTGCTAGGGCAACCAAAGGATCCTAAGTCTACACTCTCATATCACGAATGTCAGGGGGGGCTCTTCACACCCCGTCAGAGGCACCACCAATATCCATGAGCCTTGAGAGCACACTGCATCTTCTGGGCCACTCAGCTCACGCTTCCTTCTTGGCCGTTGCTCTGCGGAGTGGGTTGCGGAGGTTGCCGAACTTGCCGCGCAAGGTGTAGAGACCCGCCGCAGCACCGACGAGCGATGTGAAGATTGCACCGGGCACTGCTGCCGACTCCACGGCAGCAAGGCCGCGTGCACGGCAACCCTCGCGCAGGAGGCAGCAAGCGCCGGAGATGACAAGGGCGCACACCACGACGATCACGGCTGCCAGAGCTGCCACCTTCTTGGTGAGGACGCGACGAGCTTCCGGCTTCTCTGGCTTCTCTTCTGCCTGGGTCTTGATGGACTTCTTGTCAAGGGCTTCTGAGGTGAGCAAGGTGGCCGCCTTCAGGTCCGGGTCCTTCACTTCTTTCTCCTTTGGTGCCGGTGAGGCTGCTCGCGACTTCTTTGGCTTCTCTGGCTCGAATGAGGTCTGCTCGGCATCAGTTGCGGGGACAACGTCGGCAGGGGAGAGAGTCATGGCGAACAACCAACACGAAAGCGCCGTTCTAACAGGAGCGGGATGCAGCGGCTACGAACCCAAATGGCTGTGCAAGAGTCGACTGGATTTGCAGGTCTGTGCACTCTGCATGCGGGGGTCTCGGGGGAGTGGGGGCCCTGTGCATATCTACGCAGTATGTAGGACGTGGGCGTGCGCACTGCAATGTGGAGTTGTCTCGCTGCCTCTCACCCCCTCTCTTATCATCGCAGATAGACTCGCATAAACAGTTTCAGTCTACATTTGCCTGATATTTGTGAGTACCTTTCCCCCCGAGCATGCCCGCGGCGCAGTGAGCAGGCACATACTGTCATCTAGGAGATAGCGCACATCCCCACGACCCGGCTTTTGCAGGCGGGCGAGGGGGCCGAATTAGGCTGAGTTCATTATCAGAGGACTTGTCGAGAGCTCAAAGTGCCCTCTGACATCCTCCACACATGCGTGAGCTTTCTGGATTGGACTCGTGGCTGCTAGGGCAACCAAAGGATCCTAAGTCTACACTCTCATATCACGAATGTCAGGGGGGGCTCTTCACACCCCGTCAGAGGCACCACCAATATCCATGAGCCTTGAGAGCACACTGCATCTTCTGGGCCACTCAGCTCACGCTTCCTTCTTGGCCGTTGCTCTGCGGAGTGGGTTGCGGAGGTTGCCGAACTTGCCGCGCAAGGTGTAGAGACCCGCCGCAGCACCGACGAGCGATGTGAAGATTGCACCGGGCACTGCTGCCGACTCCACGGCAGCAAGGCCGCGTGCACGGCAACCCTCGCGCAGGAGGCAGCAAGCGCCGGAGATGACAAGGGCGCACACCACGACGATCACGGCTGCCAGAGCTGCCACCTTCTTGGTGAGGACGCGACGAGCTTCCGGCTTCTCTGGCTTCTCTTCTGCCTGGGTCTTGATGGACTTCTTGTCAAGGGCTTCTGAGGTGAGCAAGGTGGCCGCCTTCAGGTCCGGGTCCTTCACTTCTTTCTCCTTTGGTGCCGGTGAGGCTGCTCGCGACTTCTTTGGCTTCTCTGGCTCGAATGAGGTCTGCTCGGCATCAGTTGCGGGGACAACGTCGGCAGGGGAGAGAGTCATGGCGAACAACCAACACGAAAGCGCCGTTCTAACAGGAGCGGGATGCAGCGGCCACAAACCCAAATGGCTGTGTAAGAGTCAAGTTGCAGGTCTATGCGTTTGCATGTGGGGGTCTCGGCGGAGCGTGGGCCGAGTGGGCCCTTTGCTTGTCTATAGGCAAGCTGCAACTATGTAGGTCGTGGGCGTACGCGCTGCTATGTGGAGTCGTCTCGCTCCCTCTCTCGTCTCATCGTAGATAGAATCATACAAATACTTTCGGCCATCACTTATTGGTGTTTATGTGCGTGTGTTTCTGAGCGTGTACCCTTGCACACGCATACATACACAAGAACTAGAATTCATCTATGTACATAAATATACACACAGTACGCTGAAACGCAGATGTATTATCAAGCCCAATGCTTCAAACCTGCATGGTTTCGCACGTTCAGCTCAGGTGTGTAGAGGGTCACATATAGATACAGACAAGTAAAAACTGTGTATGCATATGACAACAATAACCATGATACCAACTAATGCCCGTAAATCACTATATGAAAAAGTGTAGTAGAAGCACTTTCCCTAAATCCTAAACCCTAAACCCTAAACCCTGAACCATAAACCCTAAGCCCCTATAAGGCTGGCTGATCTCTCGGTCGCCTCTGGAGCTCCCATTCTGAGAAGCCCTCGCCAGTGGAGACACGCCTGCGAGGGGAGCCACGAGTTGTTGTAAACCCGAAACCCTAAACCCTAAACCCTAAACTATAAACCCTAAACCCTAAACCCTAAACCCTAAGCCCTAAGCCCTAAACCCTAGCCCTAAACCCTAATCCTATAAACCCTATAAACCCTAAACCCGAAAAATCGCTCTCAAAGCCCGGGGCTCATAGGGCTGCTCAAGGTTAGCATGTGGCCGTAGGATGTTCCCCCTAGTGTAAGGGGGAACACGCCCAATGAAGCCCATGGTGCAGCAGCGCTCTTGTAGGGAAATTGTGGCTCTCCCCCCCCCCCCCCCAGCCCCCACCACACATGCAACACGAACTCAAAAGCCAGTCGACGAGTCCTGGAGCATGTAGCATCCCCGTCCCTACCACTTCAGCCCTTGACCGTTCAGCCCTAAACCCTAACCCCTGAGCCTCCGGATCTCTTGCAGAGGCAGCCCGATCTCCGCGAGCCTGTTTCAGTCAAGACACAAGGGATCCAAACACCCATGAACCTCCAAGTACGTCCTACTATGGCTAGTGCGCATGATGTGTGCGCATGTTGCGAGTAAGGCCCAAGGGCATTTTTTGGGGTTGTAGCATTTAGGGTCTGAGGGCTTCGATGGTTTGGAACCCGATGGCCACATGGAGGCTTCCGTGCGATCTGGTGCAGAGATGGGCCCAAGTTCTGATGAGCGGGAGCTTAGACTACTGAAGTGCGCAGCAGCCGTCTATCCTGCGAAGAACTTCGCTGAACCAGACCAATATGAGCGGATGTGATACTATAAGACACGATAAGACGACTACAAACCGGAACCCGGACCCAATTGATAAGTTCCCTGACCCGAACATGAAGTTGACCTTCGAAACAGGGTCTAAAGCCTAAACTAACCCCAACAGAACGGAACGACAAAACCGGCTGGCGGCTAAAGGTTACCTACTCAGCTCTTAAGTTAAAGCTTAGCTACAGTGAATCTCGAAGCCCAGAGTCCAAAACTCCCCAGCTGCATTCCTTGCGGTTTGGGCTTCAGGGGACATGGAGGGGTTCTCCTTTTGAAAGACCAACGTTTTGACTTGGCTCAAGCATGGCAGTGCAGAACGCGGCGATGTTTGACCAGCTTTTTGGGGGCCCCTCATTCAATCCTAGACACGAAAGCTGCATTGTATGCGGGTTTGCAGCAACTCGTGGTAAGTGCATGCAGCCATCGCTGCAAAGAAGCGAAGGCCAACCAGCGAAAGAGAGGTGTTACACGCTTCGAAGCTGATTCTGCACAGTGCCACTGTCACCACCGTGCAGAGCATCCCCCCACGTCACGACAGATCCGTTGCCGAGAATGGCAGCAAAAGCGCTGCCAGAGGCTGCGACCTGCTGGACATTCTTCAGCTGATCCTGCACAGCACTACTGTTGCCACCGAAGCTGGGATCACCCCAGGCTATCACGGATCCATCGCCAAGAATGGCAGCAAAAGCTGAGGTAGTAGCTTGGATCTGCTGCACATGCTTCAGCTGATCCTGCACAGCACCGCTGTCACCACCGTATGCAGGATTGCCCCAGGTCACGACAGAGCCGTTTTCGAGAATGGCAGCAAAAGCCCGGTCAGAGGCTCGCATATGCTGCACATTCTTCAGCTGTTCCTGCACAGCACTACAGTCACCACCGAAGCCAGGACTACCCCAGGCTATCACGGATCCATCGACCAGAATGGCCGCAAAGGCAAGTCTGGAGGCCTGGATCTCTTGCACATTCCTCAGCTGAGCTTGCACAGCACTACTGCAGCCACCACAGCCAGCATGACCCCAAGTCACGACGCCTCCATCACCAAGAAGAGCAGCAAACGCGCCGTCTGAGGCTTGGATCTGCTTTACATGCTTCAGCTGACCCTGTACAGCACTGCTGTCGCCACCCCATTCAAAACCACCCCAGGTTGTCACGGATCCATCGCCAAGAATGGCAGCAAAAGCGGTGGGAGTAGCGTGGATCTGCTGCACATTTTTAAGCCGATCCTGCACAGCAGCGCTGTCGCCACCTCCGCGGGCACTTCCCCAGGTGACGACCGATCCATTGCCAAGAACAGCAGCAAAAGCGCAGCTGGTCGCTTGGATATCCTGCACGTTCCTCAGCTGATCCTGCACAGCAACACTGTTACCGCCATCGTCCGCACTTCCCCAGGTCACGACCGATCCATCGCGAAGAATAGCCGCAAAAGCGCTGGTGGAGGCTTGGATGCGCTGCACGTTCTTTAGCTCATGCTGCACGGCACTACTATCACCACCATTGCGAGCATCACCCCAGGTTACGACGGAGCCATTGCCGAGAATGGCAGCGAAAGCCCTAGAAGTGACTTGGATCTGCTGCGCGTTCCTCAGCTCCGGCACATCACTATCGTCATCACCACCATCACCCCAGGCCACCACAGATCCATCCCCAAGAATACAGGCAAAAGCAGCACCAGAGGATCGGACTTGAGGTGTGTTTATGTGCAAAGTCAGTGAGGCACCGTTCTTGATCCCGGCGTCCCTGATCAGTGTCTGCGCATCTAGCACGTTTCCGGACAAGTCCGTTAGACGCCCTTTGCCGACTCCGAGTGCGCTCTGTGCCTGGCATTTCAATACTCCCACTTCGTCGTCCAGTCCGACTTTCACGGTAGCTGTCTTACCACTCAGCAGCCCCACTTCGACTAGAACCGACGTGTCGCACAACGCAACTGTGCTGTCTGCCATGTTTGCCAATGGCCTTAGCCTTAGCCCTGGTTCTTAGGCGTCTTCGGCGTTTTGGCCCTTTTAGCAGGAGTACGCGTAAGCGCGCCCTAGTACCCTTAAAAGGGGCTTAGAGGGTTGGCAAACCAGGCTTGCTGCTATGCTAAACGTCTCAATATCCTTCGGGGTCGAAGGCTCCGGGGGAACCTATTCCCATGCAGAAAGAACCATAAAACAACTCTGGACGGCTTTGTCCCGAGGGTTCATGCTGAATAACAGTAGACCACTAATGAGCCATAGCTTCCCTTCTGATTCTGCCCAAGGGTCAGATACAGTCTCATGCACCACGCAAGATAGCTGACAAGAACCACCATGTGGGGGTTTACGAAAATAGGGCATCCGTCATATAGACCCCCAAATAGTAGGATTCCTTGATAATAAGGGCCTCCAAAAGGTACCCCTAAACCCTAAACCCTAAACCCGAAACCCTAAACCCCAAACCCCTAAACCCTAAACCCTAGTTTCGGAGCCCCCCATGTAAGTTTAAGGTTTGTGCAGGACTCTGAGCCCTGCAAGGCTGGTACAGTAATCCTGAAACACTGGGGCCCCCAGGAGGGAAGCAACAGCCCCTAGCTCCTCTCAAGTGGCTCAAGCAATTCGGGCTTAGGGTTTAGGGTTTAGGGTTGAGCTCGGGATCTGAGGATCCGCTTCTTGCAGAAAAGTCAAATTCACATGTCTTATAACCCTGAATGCCCAAAACCCTTACAGTACTCTTATAAGACCAGCCCTCTACCCTAAAAAAACCTAAACCCTAGCTTGAAACCCTAAACCCTCAACCCTAAACCCCTAAACCCTAGCTTGAGACAGTACAACTTCAGGCTCTGACTTGTTGTGTTCGTCCTCGCTGAGGAGATGAGCATCGGAGTTCAGCCTCGCAAGCGGCGTTGGAGGAGGTCGGGTTTACAACCCCCTATAGGTTTGTGGATTGGGGTTTATGGTTTAGGGTTTAGAGTTTAGGGTTTATTTTAGGGTTTAGGGTTGGATTCGGGCTTAGGACGCTGTAACTATGTGAGGCATGGCCTCCACCAGATCGTCCTTGCTGGGTTCATATGGTGGGGGGCAGAACCATTACCAATAATATTCCCTTATGGTCCAGGTATATTTATACTACGTTACTCGTATTCCCTTATGGTCCAGGTATACGTATACTATGTTAACCACCAAAACCCTATTCCAGTTAATTAAGGCCCTTATGTTAGCCCACCCCTGGAAGATGTCCTCCGCCCGTGCCCTGGTTTAGAAAAACCGGGTTGAGGTCTCGGGGTTTCCCCCCACCCCACTCCAGGGTTTAGGGTTTAGGGTTTAGGGTTCAGGGTTCAGGGTTCAGCATGAGTTTTTTGAGTACACCGAGAGAAAAGCACATACAAGCCCAGAGAAGCCAGTGTCCACGCCGACGCGAATCGGAGCCTTCGCAAAGCCTTCTTGAGCTGCGAGTCGTCAAGCCTTGCGGTTTAGGGTTTAGGGTTTAGGGTTTAGGGTTTAGGGGTTAGGGGTTAGGGGTTCAGGCTTCTTACTCAACCGATTCGAAGGTGTGCAACGCAAGGCTTCAGGATTTCTAAGAGCATGCAAGCTCCATCGTCAGGCACATGAACGTTCTGTCTCCAGAAGGCTGCTACAATCCAGCAAGCAGGCCAACCATCGCCTACATGCAGTAAGCACAAACCTCAGCTCCCCTATACAACACATGGGGGTTTACGAAAATGAGGGACTCCCCCAAATAGTAGGATTCCCTTATAACAAAAACGACCCAAGCAGGCCAAGCAGGTACCCTTAATATCGTCAACTGCCACATCTTGAACCACGACTTACATCCTCCCCCTGGTTCATAGTGTTCTAATGGGGGAATGAGGTACCCGAAATAATCTCTTCAAGGGTAGATATAGGGGGATATAGGGTGCCTCTCCCATTCCCTACGAAGAACCAGCCAGTCCCATGGATCGAAACAAAATCTCAAGGGAGCTACTGTTTGGTTCTGAACATTCATGTTTGATTCTACTTAATGTATATATATATATATGTATATATATATATACATATATGTATATATATATATGTATATATATATATAACCCTATTTTGGGTACTTATCACCCTATTTAGGGTACTCTTATAACCCAGTATAGCGTTCTTGTAACCCTATTTTGGGCACTTATAGCCCTGCTTAGAACTATCCGTGAACAATCAAGCACAAGGGCCCTTTCCTTTTGGGTATCCCGAACCATGAGGAATGCATTCGTTGCTGGGACGGGGATGCTGCATCTTAAACCCTAACCTGAAACCCTAAACCCTAAACCCATGCATGCGTCCGGCCTGCGCATACCTTCTTCCCCCACCACAGATGCACTCCTCAGGATCCTTTCCGTCTGTGATGAAGGTTAAGGGTTTAGTTTAGGGTTTAGGGCACATGCCGCAACATGATTGTCCGGCGCACCAACATCAGAATTATGGTGATTGGGCATGCTTTACATGTACACATACAGTTGTATGTGCAGCGAGTGAAGCGATGATGGGTGCAACTGCCCACTGGTGGCTTCAACCCAAAGAGCCATTTTCCACCATGCCTTCGCCAAGAACAGGCGACGCACGGACACCTAAACCCTTTTGACACCTAAACCCTAAACCCCTAAACCCCAAACCCTAAACCCTAAACACCCAGTCGCAGCACACGGACACCCTGAAGCCCAAGGCGCTCTCGCACCCCAACCCCCAAAGAGGTCGCCTCGACTGCTCTTCCTCCTCCTTCGTGGGGTTGCTGGTGCCGAAGACGCGCCTGGGAGAGCAGGGGAGGGTTTAGAGTTTAGGTTTAGGGTTTAGGGTTTAGGGTTTAGGGTTTGGGGTTTGGGGTTTGGGGTTTGGGGTTTAGGGCTTGAGGGTTCCGGGCTTCGGTTTGTCTTAACCGTTGGGGCAAGGCAACACAGGTGGGGAACTAGAGGCATTCTGAGGCTGACTGAAGCGACAGGAGCAACGGGTGCATCGTGAGGACTTTGGGCCATTTGGCCGGGTTTGGGGCGTGATGTCTTGCCCCTGACAAATCTGCAGGCGTGGCGCCTCAAGGCTCACAAACCGAAACTCTCCAAGCCGAAACCTCTCAGCACTGCAAGCTCGTTCAGCAATTTGCAAGCAGAAAGGACTGGTGACAGAGCTTCAAAAAGCGGACTTTCGCTGTCGTTGGCGGTGACAACCAGGCAGAAGCACAGTTTTTTTCGGCCGTCAAGCCGTCAAGCCTTAACGAAGCAACTAGGCCCCTAAACCCTAAACCCTAAACCCTCAAAGTCAACCAACCAATCGCGCAGCTGAGGCTGCCCACCGGGTCAGCTTCGCCAACGAGAAGCCGGCAATCGCCAGCCTTTTTTGACTTGCTGACGTACTTTGGGTTTACAAGCTTTAGTCTATACTCCCCTTAGGACCTTAATCAGAATAGTATGTTTAATATCCTCTTGGGTTTTGTACAAACAAAAATGAAAAATCCCAAGGGGGATATCGTAGTTTCAGGGTCTAGGATTGACGGCTTTCGGGAGGGGGGGGGGGGGGGGGGGCGTGTGGCTTATGGGGCTCTGATGGGTCCACAACTTTAAGTTGCGCTGGTGATTGCGGAACTACACTTGATGGCTCAGGCATTTTGTGTAGTAGACAGTCGGAATGAGTATCATAAACTCCCATTTTCCTGACAAGAAGAAAACCCTAAACCCTAAACCCGAATCACTTGAAAAAAGACCCTGTATACCCTAAACCCTCAACCTTTCTGGCCTTCGAAGCTCGTCGTCCTCGAAGCCCATACCGTCGCAGAGGCGTCTGGGACCAAGGAAGGGTTCAACTTGTCGAAACTAGGTTTAGGTTTAGGGCTTAGGGTTTTAGGGGCTGGTGGCTTAGGGGGCATGCCTCGCGACATCTGAGCTCACTTCTTTCTATGAAAGCCATATTTCCATAAGGATCCATGTACCTGTATGGTATAGACTTGGGCCCTAAAAGCTACTATATAGCAACCCCTTTAAGGCCCAAGTATATACTACATAGGTACATTGACATGGATCCTCAGGGTTTGGCTGAGGACACAAACTATAAGTCGAACGTCTTAGTGGTGCGAGACGTAGAGAAGCCACCTGAGTTTTAGGGTTTCTGAAGCTGGTAGGGTTTAGGGTTTAGGGTTTAGGGTTTGTGCATGAACGAGCAGGCCAACACCCACTATCCGAGGCCTTGGGCTTCGGGTTTCGCAGTTGGGCTTTGGTTCCCATGTTCCCGGCTACTTGAAAACACGAGATCAAGGCCTTGCCCTAAAAACCCTAAATTCAACCCTAAAGCCTACACCCTAAACCCTAAACCCTAAACCCTAAACCCTGAACCGCTTTTGCAGTCCCGGGAAGCCGAGCACAGGGGCCCAAGGAGTTGCCTTTTTACTTGCTCCCTGCTTGAGGGTGTTACCCTAGCAATAACCCCCCCATATTATATGCCCTGCATGCTATGTGCTATGTGCCCGCTATGCCCTAAAGACGCTATATCCCGTATACCCGATATATCCCAACTAGCCGATGTCCTACCCCATGTACCGCATATACCGGGTATGCCCGACCCTAAGCCAAACTCTGGCCTAATGATCTCCTCCTCTGTGAAGCCCAGCGCCTGGAGCCTCCACAGGCCACACTCATCGGGGATCCCCAAAGGCGTTTGGGGTCTAGGAGTGGGTTCCCCGAAATGTCCCACACGAGGGGTCTTCGAATCCGCAAATAGGATGGGGTTATGTACAGGTTTGGGGGCAGGCTTGCGCGTTTTTGGGATATCGGGGCTGAGGGTCAGCGCAAGGCCTCTGGAGCTCGGTCGGAGCAAAGGTGCTCTCGCCGTGGAGGCGCCTGGAACAAGGAAACCAAATGGTGCAGGACTTTGCAAGTTTCTCAGGGCTTAGGGCCTTAAGATTGCGGTTTGGGGCCACTCCTTCCGGTTGACTTTAAAAGAAGAAGCCGACGCAGCATTGAACTCCAGCTCATGGAGAACTACGCAGCTACCCCGACCCAGAGACTCCAAAACCCCTTCATTGAGGTATATCCCTTAAACTATAATCGGAACCCTTATATGATTTAAGGTACATTCCTTAATTAAGGGGGTTTTGGAGTCTCTGGGGAACTCCTGGACCCTCAGCAAACTTGGGCAACGTGCCTGTGGAGGTCCTCCACATCGAAGCCGGCACTCTCCAGACTGAAGCGTAAACCCTAAACCCTAAACCCTAAACCCTAAACCCTAAACCCTAAACCCTAAACCCTATACCCTAAGCGGCTCATTTCTCAAAACCCAACCAACACACTCCACAGGTACAGAAATGGGAGTCTCGGGTAGATTTAGATATTTCTCAAAACTCAGCCAACACACTCCACAAGTACAGGAATGGGAGTCTCGGGTAGATTTAGATTTCGATGTTCATCGGGATGCTAGCGCAGCTAAGCACGAGCATTCAACCGTCTCGCGCCTGCGCGCGCGTCCCTCTACATCTGTTCATGTAACTTACGCTGACGATGTATCGGTGGAAGCCTTCGGGAGCATGACACGAGCATTTAGTGACAGGAAGCAGCACTCGTGTGCTGTAGTGTTCGTGCCAGGCCGGCAACTCGTGACAGGGGCCGTTTCAGAAAGACAGGGTGTCAAAGTGTTTGAATTAAACACAAGGGGTCGACGCAGCTGAAGGACCCCAAGCTCTCAAGCACAAAGTTCGTTGGTAATCAATCCCACGCCCCCTCCCATACCCCGCCAACCCCCGTGCAATCCGAATCCAATCGGAGAGCAATGGACCTATAGCCCTAAACCACAGAGAAAAAGAGTTTAGGCTTCCCCTAAACCTAAATCCTAAACCCCAAGAGCCTAAACCCTAAATCCTAAACCCTAAAACCCTGTTGTTGCTGCAAAGCCCTGGACCTGAACATCTCATCCTCGGAGAACTCGGCCCGGTCAGCCAAGCGCCTTCTGTATATATGTATATATATATATATATATTTATATATATATATATATATAGTGAGGGTTTAGGGATATATATATATATATATTGTCCATGTATCTATGTGTGCAAATATGAATGGATATATATACCTGCGCCCCCCCCCCCCCCCCCCACACACCTCCCCCTAGAAGCATGAAACAAGTAGGAAACAAATATTGCTGATGCCTCCTTTAAGGCTCATAAAGATAAGCCGGGTCCCTAAACCCTAAACCCTCAACCCACACGGATGTTGGAGGTGAGGTGCCTTTTTTGGCAGTTCCCTGCATCCCAACCCCTGAGAAGATTCCAGGCGATAAGGGCCCCCAGCTGCATGATCTCATCCTCGCGCAGCCCAACCACATCGAGCCTGCGCCGGAGATGCGGTTTACCTCTGATGGAATAGGCTTGCTGGGCTATCTAGCCTCAACACCGGCGAAGGATTTCACCACTGGCGAGTGGTGGAGTCAATTCTTGTCGGTGTTGGCCTAGTGAGCATCTCCAGGGGATTTAGAGCGTAGGGTAACCCTGAACCCTTTTGCATCCAGCCTGCACCACCTCTGCTGGGAAATGTAGGGAGCATGCTTCACACCCTAAACCCTAAACCCTAAAACCCTAAAACCCTAAACCCGAAACCCTAAACCCTAAAACCCTCAACCCTATTAAACGCCCGAACGCCCGAAGCCCTAAATACGGTCCCGGTGGAAGCAACCTCGGGTGAGCGCTGCCCTCAAGCCTAAGCTTCCCGAAACACCGAAGCGAAACGGCCCACACCCTCCACATCTTGCTAGCCCAGCAACTCAGGGTTTAGGGTTTATGTGGGTTGATGGTTCAACCCCATGAAGTTAAATGGGTACTTGCCCAGGTCCTCCTGTGCTGAGGATACCCCTGAAGCCCTCAAATTGCCCTGTAATCATGGCCTAGATCAACCTTAAAATCCTAAACGCTCTTTATTGAAACCAGACTTGATGACTGCAAGCAGAAAACGTGCCAGAAGCTGCCCTGAAGGTCTTCTAGAGGATCCTAAACCCTAAACCCTAAATTCAGAATCAGAATCAGCACGCCCTGGGCTCTCACCTCAATCGCTCGTCTCGATCGAAAATTTCGCCTCCAAGAACTCGCCTTGGTCGGCTTCGGGGCCATATCTAGGTTGGCCCTTCGAAATGGGGTTTAATTGGGATTTCGGGTTTAGGTTTAAGACCAGCAGGGTCTGGTCTTAATCCCAGTAAGGGAAAATATATAATATCCCATGGGCCTGCCTAGACATAGTCTAACTTAGTTAACAGCAGGCTTCCTCCAGCTCACATATCACACAGGGTCACACCTAGGCCCCCCAAGAAATTCTTTCAATTGAGGGTTTCGTGGCTTGTGGGTCATGGAGATGTTGAGGGTTGGCCCCGGCCGCCGTTGTAAGCCACGCCCTGTGGAAGTCAAGAGGTACCGACGGATGGTGGTAGCACACCAATTACTGTGGGAAGAATTGTGCCCGTGAAGTGTCTTTCGAAGCAGCACCTTGTGTCGGCTTGTGGCCGCCTTCTTGGGGAGTTGCTTTCTCTCAATTCTACCAGCCGGAATGAAGGACACAACTGAGGATGGAACGGGTCATGCTCATGGACAGTTGTGTCAAGCCAACCCAATCGCTTAAACCGCGAAAGCCCAAAACAACCCCCCAGGCTTCCAAGAGAGGCTGTCTGTGCATTTGCGTGGCACAATGGCTTTACCCGAGTCACACGTGAAAGAAAAGCTCGCTTCCGGAATCACAGCGGAATAATTTGAGGGGGAACTCTTAATATTCCCCCCAAAATTCGTATTAACTCTTACTGGTAACCTAAACCCTTTTTTTACAGCAGGCCTCGGTTCACAGCCTAAACCCTAAACCCTGAACCCTAAACCCTAAACCCTAAACCCTCATTTGGGACTCTGGCCGCCGTAGCTCGTGGAGAGGAAGGTCGATATCTTCCAACCTCCAGGAGGCCGGAATCCGCTTCCAGGCAAGGTTTAGGAGGGTTTAGGGTTTAGGGTTTAGGGTTTAGGGTTTAGGGTCCCCCACATCGTGCTTCAGCCGGCAAAACTCCTGGGTTCTGAAAGAGTCATTAGAGTTTGGCTCTTAACTCAGTTTAACCCCTTAATCGCAAACCCTCTTCAGCCCCAATAAGAGAAACTCCGGAACATCCCAAGGGCCTGCCTAGCTATAACCATTGCAGAAAAGAAAGGCAGTCCCAAACAAAACCCTGCAGCCTTGAGCGTTTACTATGGGGTGTCCTAAAAGCAAGGCTTCGTGCTACAATAGGAATAGTTCATGACAGCTTTTGATCCCGACACCGTGAATCCTGTTGTTACTAGCAGTTTAGGGTGATTTGTTTTTTTTTGGGTTTAGGGTTTAGGGTTTAGGGTTTAGGTACGAAACCACCCCTTCTCGCGTCATTTGCATTCCCCATGTTGGAGACAGTGGAGCCGCTAACTCCGCAAAGCATAGCAGGCTTGTTTAAGGGGCAAATTGTTTGCACTTTGAGGATCTCTAAGGAGGCGTCGTTCTTTCATTTGTAAATCCCAACAATCACTGAGGGGCGGCTCCTTTGATCGCTTGAAGAAGATTATGTCATGCTTCGTTGTGTTTGTAGCGTGTAGGGTGAAAGGGTTTATAGGGTTTATAGGGTTTAGGTTATGTGCAAGCTCATGCTTCTTTGTGTTTGGAGGGTTTGAACACATTTCGGGAGGACTTTATGACGGTATCACTGAAGACCCAAAAGAGCTGACGGCCAGCCTCTTCAGGTCCTCTGTGTCAAAGTCCTCACCCAAGATGAGGCGCCTCGAAGCATTGCCGCACTTCCCCAAAAAGATTTCAGGCTTTAGGGGCTTAGGGGCTTAGGGGGATAGATTTCAGGGTTTGGGGGTTTAAGGGCTTAGGGGGTTAGATTTCAGGGTTTAGGGGCTTCGGGGGTTAGGGGTTGAGGGCTTTTTTTTGCCAGGCTTTTTTGCCACCTGCCCAGCAGCCTCGCAACCACACTGCAGGGTTTAGGGTTTAGGGTTTAGGGTTTTTTTGGCACCCGACTAGCCACAGCAAAGCGGGGTTTAGGGTTTAGGGTGTAGGGTGTAGGGTGTAGGGTTTAGGATTTAGGGTCCACCCAAAGCGGCCTGGTTAAGAAACATGCAGCTCAAACAGGTCTGTCGGATGGAGGTTGACGGGAAATCTGCGCGTTCATATGGATCACCTTCTATGCACGACGATCTTTGGCACTCTCAGAAACACAGGCAGAGTCTAACCCTAAACCCTAAACCCTACACCACTACGAAGCATCCCAGGATCGGGTTGTTAGTGCAAGATAAGACTGCATGTTCAACTCAATAACATACAGGTTCCAAAGTGCCGAACGCATCCACGCTCCAAGTTCCAAGCCAAAAACCCTAAAGGCTTACCGCAAGCCTAAAACCTAAACCCTAAAACCCTAAAAACCTAAAACCCTAGAACCCTAAAACTTTAGAACCCCAAAACCCTAAACCCTAAAACCCTAAAACCCTACAACCCTAAAACCCTAAAACCCTAAGAGTGTAGGGTTCCTAAACCCTTAACCTGATTGAATCTTACTTGCTCCAGGGTGCCTCCGGATCTCCATCTCCGGAAGGCGGATGCTGCTCAGCCTGCTGTTCAGGCAGTTAGGGTTGAGGGTTTATAGGGGGTAGGGTTTAGGGCCGTTTAGGGTTTAGGGTTTAGGATGTCGGAGCGGAGCCTCAAACAAGGACTCAGGATGTGGGCCGCTGGTAATTAGTTGGGCCATGGGTCCTAGATTACCATGTGCTTTCTGCACTCTTCCTGTTGTTCGGCTGGGGGGGGAGATAAGAACGTCTTTCATATTGCACCCATGCCCAAAACACTGGCATTTACAGCGTTCTCGCCTCTTTGTACAAACTGCGCAAAGATGTGGAACAGGACATGTCGTGACAAGCGTCCATGCCCTTTGCGCAACATGCTGCGAAAGGATGTGGAGCAAGACGCGTTGTCACAAGGCCTTTTCCTTTGGTGACCATGCCCGAAACACTGGCATTTACTGCGCTTTTGTTTCTCTATTTGATACGGATTTGACCTTGAAGGGTTTAGCCTCCAGGCTAACACACTGAAACTCAGAAACCGAAAGACAAGGAAACAGTAAGAACCAAACACGAAAAGTATAACATGAATTGTTTTTTGGTACATCCTGAAGACAGATCTTTGAAGAATCCTGGCAAAGCCCAAGCCAAACGCACATTTCCCTGAAAGAAAGTAGGGCTTGTAAAGGGCGTATAGTGTAGGTTTAGCTTCTTAGGACCTAGATGTTCGGAGCTTACTTGGGCTACAAGGGTTTCTGCCTGACTCTGCCAGAGCAGCTGGCAGCCGAAAACCCTCGACATAACTGTCGGAACTCTCAAGGTCAACCCATTCGCTAACGAGCCCTAAGCCCTCAACCTAAATACAAGACTCTTTGCCATAGTCGCCCAGCACACCCTAAGACGCAAAGTCCCTAACCTAGAGGGTTCGGCCTGCTTGAAACCCTAAACCCTAAACCCTAATCCCTAAACCCTAAACCCTGAACAGTGTGCACGGACGTGCCATGTTTGAAATCGGGATCTCTAAATCTGAAGGGAAAAGTGCAGGGTCACCGCGCGGCGGCTGCAGACCCTATACCCTAAATGCTACTCTTGACCCTAAACCCGAAACCCTAAACCCGAAACCCTAATTACCCCAAACCCGCCAACCACCTGGTAAAAGTTCCGAAGCGCTCCGGCCAAAGCAGCCTCTCTTTCTCAGCCTTGGAGAAGCGGCCCGTGCCAGCGAGCAGCCTCGGAGAGGAGAGGGGAGGGTTTCGTTTCCTTGAAACGAGCAAGGCGCACTGCAACCTGGAGGCGTTCTGGTAATTTCCCCCCACAACCCTCTCACTCGCGGTAACATAAAAAGAGATACGAGGCAAAAATCGAGTCCCTGCGTCACAGGAGCCTGGACTAGGCTATGCAAATATTATCATGCCATGATAACAAGAATGTATCTTTAGCACTAGGGATGATCGTGTCCTTCCCGAATCCCGAAACTTGAGATCATTGAGTCAAGGGCGCACCGGGGCCTTTCCGCACACACACACAAACACAAGGGGGGGGGGGGGGTCTCCCCCCCAACCACACCCCCCGCCCCTCTCCAAAAAAAACAAACAACAACCCTTGTTTTTAGGACCCCACACAATTAAAACAAAGAGCAACAATACAAAGGCGATCTATGTATATACATATGTACATATATATATATATACATGTATATATATATATATGTATATATTTACATAATCATTTTGTTCATTTTTTGATTTTTTTCTATGTATCCCCCCCACCCCCCGAAATTTCGGAAGCACCCCCATCCGAACTCACGGGTGCCGGCACCTCCGGAGCCTCTCCAGGGGAAGCCCCTCCGCTTTGAGCCTGTTGGGGTTTGGGGTTTAGGGTTTAGGGTTTAGGGCTTAGGGTTTAGGGTTTAGGGGGGAGGTGCGGGGTTTGGGGGTTGAAGGGTGCAAGGGTCTAAGGGGTTGAGGGTTTAAGGGTTTAAGATTCTGACGATTCAAGGGTTTAAGGGTGGAAGGGTTCAAGAGTTTGAGGGCTTTGTAAGAGTCTACGATGAAAGAAGTTCTGGGACTTTTGGGTTGAGAGCGTTGGTTAAGGCCACTTTTTCCTTGAGAGCCTTTTCGGGAGTCCTTGGCAATGGAATTTGTATGGATTTTGGCTATGGTACCCTCAACTTGCTCAGGTTTTTGTTTGGAACTGAAGCTCTCTGTTTTTGCTTTGGGAAGCAGACAGCGGCATGGAGAAGCTCTGGAAGCGCCCTAGGTTGCAGATTCACGGGCTTGGCGGTAAGGACCTCATCCCCAATTCCTCAACCCAGCCTGCAACTCGGAACCAACCTCTCAACCCAAGGGTTTAGGCTTTAGGGTTTATGGTTTAGGGTTTAGGGTACCCGAAACCCTGAAACCCTAAACCCTGTTGCAGCAGGCTTGGAAGGGTGCGCAAGCACATGTTCAGGCCATGCGGTGTTCACTCAGCAGGAGGTTTCAAAGCCTCCAGTTTTTGAACCCATGTACCACTGACTTCACTGCATAGGAAGAACGATTTCCCGAAACCCTTTTTGCAACCCTAAACTCTAAACCCTAAACCCCAGGTCGAAGGGTAACATAGTTCCTGAGCAGTCGATGTTGCGGCGGCAGTTCCGGCTTCATGATTCTATACGCTGATGCAAGCGGGCCCTATAAGCCCCAAACCCCCAAACCCCAAACCCCAAACCCCAAACCCTAAACCCTAAACCCTGAACCCCAGCACATTACGCCGCCTACTCTGCTCGTCCTTCGAGAAGAGGTCGCCGGTCAGTAGGCGCCTTCCCGACAAGAGAGATGGCCCCTTGATTGATGTGGGATTCTCGGTTCCCCCGAGCCTTCATCGGTTCCCCCCATAACCCTGAACTGACGACCCCGTAAGAGTCACTCGCAATAGCCGTAAGATCCATACTGTGATAGCCCAAAGAACTCAGCCTTCAACTCTCAACCCCAAAGCGCTAAACTTCCTAAATACGGCACTACTAAGTCAGACCCTTTTCAAGATGTCAGTATCTTTCCTACTTGGAGGTTCATGGGACTTAGGGGATTACAAGTGCAGCTACAATTGGGACGTTAAGTACCCCTAAACCCTAAACCCTGAACTAACCCTAGCCCTAAACCCTAAACCCTTAACCATTTTGGCAGCAGGACTCCACACCACCCTAAACCCTTAACCCCAGCATAAGCCTAAACCCTAAACCTTTGACAAAAAATATGTTTATGGAACTTTTCACCGACGTGGCCTCTGGAGGTCATCGAGGCCGAAACCTGCGATCTCGAGCCTGGACATGGGTGGCTCACTTGAGGGTTTAGGTAGGGGGTTAGGGGTTCAGGGTTTGGGGTTTAGGGCTAGGGTTTAGGGGTTAGGGTTTCTGACGCCTTGTGACCCAGCGTTTAAAACATATGCTGCTGGATCTAAGCACGGCGGCTCGCTTTCAGACGTGCGAATTCAAAACCAACGTGGGTAGGGTCTCGGCGTTTTTGCACATGAGGCGTCGTCCCACTCTAGACGTCGCCCTTGAACCTAAACTTAAACCCTAAACCCTAAACCCTAAACCCTGTGATCTGGGCATCAACGAGACATCCTACAACATTTTGATGTCTCAGCACACCAGACAAACCTAAACCTTGAAGGGTCTCGGCTTCCTGGTAGCTGAGTACCCTGGCCCCCAAAAACCGTTAACCTTTCAAGCATGGCAGGATTGTATATATATATATATATCTCAAGAGCTTCAAGCCTACCTACTCAGCTACTAAGTACAATAAAGGTACAGCGCATCATCTCTAACCTAAACCCTAAACCCTAAACCCTAAACTCTAAAACCCTAGAACCCTAAACCGAGCTGGGCAACAGCTGGGCAACTACCGCCCACTCCGTCGGCCTCGTCGCCTCGTCTTCGGAGAGGCCGTAGCCCAGCAGCCCCAACCTCGCACCAACCAGGGCTTAGGGTTTAGGGTTTAGGGTTTAGGGTTTAGGGTTTAAGGTTTAGGGTTTAGGGTTTAGGGTTCCCACCAGCATCGGGTTCTCTTCAGGAGTGGGGTTTAGGGTTTAGGGTTTGGATGGGTTTGGGGTTGGGGGTTTAGGGCTTAGGGTTAGGGTGGGCATCACCTATTCAGGCTTCTATAAGGGGTATCTAAGGGTACGAAAGCCTAATGCTGGGAGGAAGCTAACCACCCTGAAATTGCATGAGGCCATGACCACTACTGTACATAAGAGGTTATGTGTGCTGAGGAGTAGTGAGGTGTTCTCAGAAGGACTGCAACACTGAGATTTTTCAAGGTGTGTCCAATAAGGTTGTCAAACCATGTTTTAGGAGTGCAAGTTGTCCTCTAAGGAGCCCCGGGTCCCTCTCTCTCGCTCGCTCAAGCCGTTTAACCCCCCCCCTTCAAACCCCCTAAACCCTAAGCCCTAAGCCCGAAGCCCTAAACCCTAAACCCTAAACCCTAAACCCTAAACCCCCCTAGACACCCCCCCAAAGCCTTCTCAGGTCTGCATCGGTGAAGCCGGCGCCTCGCAGCCTCGGTAGGGTTTAGGGTTTAGGGTTTAGGGTTTCGGGTTTAGGGTTTAGGGTTTAGGGCTTCGGGTTTAGGGTTTAGGGCTTCGGGTTTAGGGTTTAGGGCTTAGGGTTTATGGTTTAGTGTTTTCTATAGGGGTTAGGGGAGTTTAGGGCTTGGGTTGTTTTTTGCCACAAGCCTGGCCACGCACTGTGGGGCAAGCTGCAGGACAAACAACACTGCGAGAGGTTTAGGTTTCATGGGTTTGGCGGGGTTTAGGCCCTGAACTTCAGAGGTTCAGGAGAAGTTGGGGTTTTAGGAGGGGGTGTGCGGGGGTTGCTCTAGGGTTGCTCTCAACTTTTTCAAGGGTCCAGCTCCAGAACAGCAAAGCTACGCTAGCACCCAAACTTCAGTGGCTTAAGGCTATATGGGCTTTATTTAGGGTTTGGGAAAAAAGCTGGAAGTCCAGACTCGCGAGACTGAAGTTCTGTGTGTGCCGCGCCCTCAATATCCGAGCCAAATCCTTGCTCCTCTCTGCCCACATCCCCCTTTCACTCTTTCAACTTCGGCAGCCCTAAAACCCTCAAAGCTCTTTTTTTCGAACCAAACCCTAAACTCTACACAAACCCTATATAGACACTGAAGCCGCACTGAAGCCCCATTAGGGTTCAGGGTTCAGGGTTTAGGGTATTAAGGTTTAGGGTTATGACCCGCAAGCCCCAAACTGCGCTCCCCTCAGAACACGAGCACGAGGAATATCCTTAACATTCCGTAGACTTGGTCGCCCAGTAACCATCATATGACAATGACCCAAAAACCTAAACCCTAAACCCTAAACCCTAGGGTGCCGGGTTGGCTACTTGATAAACAAATGAACACGAAAAAGGGATAAGGGCACCAACGCGCATCTTCGCGGTTGGATCACAGGCCTCTTAAGCCCCTAAACCCCCACTCTTGTTTTGCACCCTAAACCCTAAACCCTAAACCCTAAACCCTAAACCCTAAACCCTAAACCCTCATATGAAGAACCCGAAGGCGGCCTCTTCAAATCTTCCTCCTGTAGGCCTCTCCCATTGTAGGCCTTCCTGGCAGCCGGGAGCTGGCAGGATTGGGCCGTGCTTACCTTAAAGGGTTTAGGGTTTAGGGTTATATAGTGTTTAGGGTTTAGGGTTAAGGGTTAAGGGTTTAGGGATGTTTAGGGTTTAGGGAGTTCAAGAAGCGCTTGATCTGTAGAGCGGTAAGGGGATATGAGTTGGCATTGCGCTGCCAGTCAGAAAGGCCATCATCAGCCACGGGCTTGTCTTAGCTCGGCATCTGAACATCAGGTCCATCTCGCGTGACATGTTTCAAGGACAATCGCATGTAGGCTCAGTAAAAAAATTGAAGGAAGCAAGAAAGGAAGGGAAGGGAAGGAAAGGAAAGGGAAGGGGAGGGGAGGGGAAGGGAAGGGAGTGCTGCGTTTGCGTCATGCTCGAAGAAACCTTTTCGTTGTGCACGGGATAATGCTTTGCGGAAGGAGGTAGGGTCCCCGTCGCCCCAAGGGCATGAAGGTCGCTTTAAATTGTAAAATATCAGGAACACACTGCAATCCGACACCCACAACGCGCCCATTATGTAGATCAGGCCCCACATGGGGGGCGACCCATGTCGAAGAAGCCTCTTCTGCGTAGGGCTTGGGGACACCGAGGGTAGCTTGTGAAAAAAAGTCCCTGAACACTGTTTACAATCATAAGGGGACCCTAATACAGCAGCAGGATCCCCTTAAAATAAGGACCTCAATAAGGCACCCCCAATTTGGGAAACTCATTTGGTGGAGGTTCTTAAGGGATGTACTGCAACATTGACCGGAGCACTGTGCCTGTAGATGGCCTCAGGCGTCAGGAAGATCCCAGTCAACCTGAAGCATGAAGGCAGAAAACTCAAGCACCCAGCCACATACTCTTGGGGTTCTAAAGGCGTACTTGGCTTCGATTAATACAACTGCTTGACAAAGCAGGCAGAGGCCAGGCCCCCCAGTTGAGACCTGGACTGTGGGTGTTCCCGATTCCTGCCCCAAATAGCCAGTTGCGAGTTCTCAATACCGTTACCGCCACTGAGGTTTTCGGAGAGAAGATTGGAATTAATCCCTTGAATACCGGAATCAGAGAAAGCACGTGAATACCAAAGGGCTTAGGCTTTCGACTCTCGCACCGGTCACAGGGCAACGTATGTGCAGCGTAAGACCCGGGCATCCTAGAACCAACAGGACACGTGAGGAAGCCCGTAGGAAAAACTTGGCGCCAAACCATAAACAAGCTATTGGCTGCCTCACTTCCTGCCGAACAAGCCACATGAGAATACACACTTTGCGCATGGCAGGGGCGGGGAGGGGGGGCAGGGAGGGGAGGGGCAGGCAAAAGCTAAGGATTGGGTGGGGCGACTCCTCCAAGTTGTCATTTAACCTTGTAAATAACCTCAACCCCGCAGCTCTTAAGCCGTGCAGCTTCCGTGTGTCTTCCGTGGTAAAGCCGCCAAGGCCACGACTGGACATGGGGCTTTGCAACAGAGCCACTCAGGGTTTAGGCCCTAAACCCTAAACCCTAAACCCGAAACCCTCTAAAAAACCCTAAACCCTACACCCTACACCCTAAACCCTCAACCTTAAAGGTTTAGGGCAGCTGGGACCCTAGAATCGCCCCCAGGGAACATCTACGCAGCTTGGCTTGCTCGCTACCAAAACAGCACGAATAGCCACCCAAGGGATATTGCGGGGGGAACTGAAGGAAGCCCTGTAAGAAACCCCCCCCCCAAAAAAGGGAACTCAATAGGAAGTTAGGAATATAAGGGCCCCCTTGCCAGCTTGTACCGATATTTCGTACGAAGTATCTGCGATCTTCTTTCATGAAGCTGGTGTACCGAATAGTTTCTACCATCTGCGGTTTCCAAAAAAACACCGTAATAAGTTAACCGGTTCGCCCATCTACTGGGGCTGTCCGAGAAGCCAGCCATATGGTCAGTTCTCTAAATGATGGTCCCTTCTTGGGGTACCCTTAAAAAGAGGGGCCGCCTTGTACTAAGGGGCCCGAAAAAGGGTCCAAAATATAGAGAAACCACCAATATTGGTGCTTAAAGGACGGCTGAAGATTTCTGTAAATCCAAATCAACCCCAGCTCCTAAAGCCTTCTGAACCCTGAACCCGGGCGCAAGACCACCAAGCAGCAGTGTCCGTGATCTGGATCCGCTCCTGGGAGGTCCTAAACCCTAAACCCCGAACCCCAAAGGGATCAGGGTTTAGGGTTTTCGGTTTAGAGTTTAGGGTTTAGGGTTCAGGGTTTAGGGTTATAGGGGTTTAAGCACTTGAAGTGTCCGTTTTGCTGGTCCCTGGCAAGTTTTGCGACTTAGAGTTTTAGGGTTGAGGGAGCCCTCTAGACGCTGATCCATTCTTGGAATACCCAGAATACATAAGGGGGTCATATTACAACGGGGACCCAACAATGGAATACCATACCGCGCTTAGGGGGCTGCAGAATGTGTTCTTCGTGGGCGGCCTTTAGGCACTTCGGTTGTCGACGTGTCCGTACATCTTCAAGAGAGCTTGGAAACACAGGCAGCCTGCGCAATCGTGATATTGTGCTTGCGGACAGTTTCGGGTTAACTTAAAACCTAAACCCACGGCCAGGCGACTGGGACGAGAAAGGCGGGGGGGGGAGGATTGGCGGAATGAGCGGGGAGGGCGGGTGAGGGCGGGGAGGGTTTGGGCATGCATTGGAGCCCTTTAAAGATTTCTACTTCTACTTCAAGTATGGCTTGGGCATGGTGAGAGTGCAGAGGGTAGGGTGGGGAGGTTTCAGGGCACGCCGGAGTTCAAATGGCTCAGAGGCTTCGGGTGTCATAAACAGAGCAAGGCCGCCCGTTGTCATGTCGGCCCACTCCGGCCCTAAACCCAACCCCCAAGTGCAAAAACATCTTTTCACTGAGAATGCTGCTTTGCACGTTGTTGCTGGGCCTACATGCACAAGCCCAATACACGCACTGGAACGACGACGTTACTGAAACTAGGGCAACGGAGTCAGGGATCGGGGCCGGAACATAGACCCAGTCTGCAAAATGACCCTAAACCCTAAACCCTCAACCCGAAAACTTAAACCCTAAACTCTAAAACCCATCTGGCAGAATTTCGTTGAGGCTCGCGCTATCTCGTGGACATGGAGATTCGCATCGGCCTCGGATCTCATGACTGGAGGAAGCATTCCAGCCCAAAGCGGTGTCAGGATACAGCTAAAGCCTGCCATGGAAACCCTTTTACTGCTGTCGGCACCCTGAACCCTAACCCTAAACCCTAAACCCTAAACCCTAAAACCTAAACCTTGAACACAAAAGTCACATGCCGATCCCGTGATCTCCCTGCAACGCGAGCGTTTGCTGCTGGCGACTGCAGCAACGACACGGCCCCCCAGAGCGATTCAAGACTTTCCCCCCGGCGAGGGCTGAGTTATCATGATGAGCCCTGTATCCCCCAAGCCTTTTTGCATCCCTAAACCCTAAACCCTAGACCCTAAACCCTAAACCGAACCCTCCTACAAGCCCCTAAAAGGCAGCAAGCACACCCATCAATCCGACACAGCCCGGGGTCGGGGCATGTCGCAGCATTGTGAACCTGTCATCAGCCCAATCACTAAAAGGGTTTAGGGTTTAGGGTTTAGGGTTTGGGGTTTGGGGTTTAGGGTTTAGGGTTTAGGCTCATAAAGACCCGGCAAATGGTTTCGGCTCTCACGCTCGCGCAAGGCAGGCGAGGATTCTGTTCGAAGGTCCATCCTCCAGACACATGCCAAGGGTTTTAGGCGGTTTAAGGGGTTTTTTTCACTCCTGCACAGCTGGGTTTAGGGTTTAGGGTTTAGGGTTTAGGGTTAGGGTTGAGGGTTTAAGGGGCAAGCTACACCGCCCCTAAACCCTGAACCCTACTAAACGCCCCCCACCATGCGAACCCCTGAAACCCCCCAAAAACCAAACCTCTAAACCCCTAAACCCCTGAACCCGTAAACCCGTAAACCCCTAAACCCCTAAACCCTACCCCTAAACCCTATAAGCCCTAAACCCTAAACTTAACCCCTTCAGCCCAAAACCCGAACCCCACGACCACACGCCGCCTGTCATCTTTGGCGAAGTCTTCGCCCCGGATGGCGCCTTGGAGCCTCTTTAGCCGCACATCCGGCCTTGAGAACGCTTCTGAGTTCTACTGTACCCGAACTATAGGGTTTAGGGTTTAGGGTTTCGGTTTTAGGAGGGCAGGATCGAGGGATTAGGGCTTAGGGGGCACCCGCCTAGCAGCCTCCTTTCAAGCACAGAGTCCTCCTAAGCAAGCCTCAACTTGTTAACAGGCTACATTTAGGGCTTAGGGACGCTCAATCCCCTCCCCCTAATATCAAAACTCCCTTTCACCCCTAATATTTAAGTACTCATGACAGTATATGGGCCTGGGGAGTATTGAACATTAGGGGGGGGGGGGGGGGGTGGGGTTCATGTTAGGGGGAGGGGAGTGCTTTTTACATAGCGAAGCCAGGAGAGAGCCTTGGGTTGCAGGTTTCGGGTTTCGGGTTTGGGGTTTAGGGTTTAGGGTTTAGGGTTAGTCATGCGATTTGGGTGGCACTGATTGTAACCCTAAACCTCAACCTTGATCCACCAAATCACATGAACCCCACCTTGAACCTACAAATGTCTGACCCATAGTTCAGCCTATAACCCTGTAAGCATAGAAGCCTGAACCCTAAACCGGGGACCCTACAGCAAGACAATGGCTCCCAACCCCTTTACTAATTGCTTAAGAACCCCCCCCAAACATAAAAACAAAAATCTTCCTTATTCAGGGTAATATAGGGATTTCATATTTTTCTTACACTTTTGGGGTTCTTGAGCAAGTAGCAGTTTACATCCTCTACCCCTGCAAGCCACGGTCCAAGTTCACCGCCCGTCTGGGGGGAAAGTTCGCTCCGACTTGCCTCCCATGGCCGTGTCCATTTCCGTCCTGCTTGTCTTGCTTTGTGTTAGGGGCTTGAGGTTGGGACGTTCTTTCGGTAACCTAAGAGTCCTGAATAGGGATTCTAGAAACCCCCTACAAAAATCCCTATGAAGGACTGTTCGTAAGGGGGAACATCCCAAGGCTGAGGCCTTAGGAGGGATTTGCAGTACTGAGGGTAGCTCACCCTCAAACCCTAAACCCTAAACCCTAAACTCTAAACCCGGTGCCTGGAAGATTGGGAGTCTGGGATTGAGGTGCAGAGGCTAGGAAGCCTCAACGATCTGAATCCTACACCCCTAAACTACCCTTGAAAAAACAGATAAAGAAGCCCTAAGCTGTTAATGTCGAAGCTATCTTGGGGTGTGCTTAGACTCTTAGATTTCCCGACGCTGCCCTTCTTGCAGGTTTCGGGTGTGGACATGAGGAGGCAAGCACAACATAATTAATCATGCATGCCGCATAACGACTTAAATCGCAACGGTTCGCACAAATGAGAAGAACCACTCCACACGTACGGACTTCCCTTGGCCTTTACTGTCATCATCAAGGCCCTGACCACGTACTGAGAGAAATTAGTTCTGTTCTGATACGGCAACTATGAAGATATCGAACACTCCATGAAACTTGGTTTTAGGGTCGAAAGCAGCCAACAAACTCTGAGCGTCATCTTGTGGAACTTGTTTTTGGCCGTTTAGGGTTTAGGGTTTAGGGTTTAGGGTTTAGGGTTTAGGGTTTAGGGTTTACCAACGGGGGGAGAAGGACCCCAATAGGGTGCCCCCCGTTTTTGGAAACCCCCATGCCGCATCGAGCCCTTCCCATTCCCGAGTTCGGCCCGTCTTTGTCGCATTGGCCGAGAAAATTGCTTTCCAATTGCCGTTCCTCAGAGCAGCATGAAGAGGTCATGGTGGAACTGCTGTTTTTCAACTCTACACAGGACCTTGTGGTTGAAGCCCTCTATGCGGGGAAGCATGCGGGAGGCAATGGCCTTTTGCCTGCGTCACTTCTCAACGTCTCTATGAGATCCAGCCGTGTGGGGGGGGGGGGGGGGTACACTCGACGACATGATGAGGATCTCTGATGTTTTGCTTGGTATGAGCGTCATTCGGTTCCTTCGCTATGGGTATGGCCTCCACCCCGCGCATGTTGCGCCGAACAAGGTCACAAACAGAAAGTGATGGCTGCAAAGGTGGAACTCAGGCTGTGATTTATGTGTCCATGAAGGTTGAAAGACGAGCTTGCCACGTACAGCAAGATGAATGAAAGCGCTCATAGCCAGCTGTCAGCAACAGCACGACCTTACTACCCTCAACTCAAGCACGCAACCAACTTAGTGTCAGGCTCGTCTTCTTCGATGCTTGACACAATTACGTCCTGGCAGGGGAACTTTCACCAAGCTAGCAGTGCCAATCCACCCCAAGCCTCCCGCATGGGTCTAATCCCGGCATGACGAACATGCGTGTTGTACTGAAGGCGCAAGTGAGGAGCCATTCCAAGCGAAACCCCTGAAAAAAATCCCTCAAAGAAAAGCATCGCGCGGGTCCCCTGGATCCACGCCCATCGCCTCAACTTCGGCTTTGGGACTACTAGGCCTCAAGGGGCTTTAGTGCCAACTAGTGCTTGTAGTCTCGAAAGCTACCTGGGCTTCAACAATTAAGGGGGCCGGATCCAAGGAACCAGGAAGGCCATGTGGGGCTTCTGATGCCCTGGCTGCCCTTGCCACTCGGAACCTCCAGCTCGTGGGGCTCCAGGCTGCATTCTGGGCGTGCAGTCGGTGCTTTTTTGCCGCGCGCCTAGCTGACCTGCAATGTCCACATCGAAGAAGAATTCTCAGCCAAGCCTGTTGGACCCGATGTGCCCATTCAATCTCTGACTCTACAGGACCCTCCAAGCCAGCCAGCTCTCACCTGCTACAAAACTCCCAGACGCTCTGACCCCACTCGGAACAGACCTTTGTCTGCGCGCTACGGTTTCGTTGCTCCAGAGACCAGCAAGAATAACCTAGACCAGTGGAGACAACCCTCACCCGACCCGTAGGCTAACATCCAAGTCAGCTAGGCGCAAAGCGAAGGCAATTGCAAGAGTTGCAACACTCGCCACCCTACGCCCTTAACCAGATAGAAAAACAAACCGAGGGCGAGTCAGTTCGTCGTCTAAGTTAAGAGGCCTATGATCACAACGATGTCGATCCTAACATAGCCTCTTGTACGGATAAGGGGCCCCGAACATTGCTACCGGGATTGCAACATAAAAACCTGCTGCCAGAAGACAAACCCAGACCCTGAACCCTTCCCCCGCCCCGCAAAACGAACAGTCCAGCTCAGTAAATTCTTCGCCCTAAGCCCTTAAGCCCTAAAACCCAAAACCCAAAACCCAAAACCCAAAACCCAAAACCCAAAACCCAAAACCCTAAACCCTAACCCTAAACCCTAACCCTAAACCCTAAACCCTAAACCCTACGTTCGTTTTCAATGGGCTGCTCGGGCAGTGCCGGACTGAGCTCTGTCCAGCAGGCTGAGAGCCGTGCCGCGGCCAGCTCTTCAGCCAAGCTGTCCTTTTAGGGTTTAATTAGGATTTATAGGGTTTTTTTTAGGGTTTAGGGTTTAGGGTTTAAGGGGGTATGGGGTACCCTATCTCATCCTTTGAAGGGTATATATATATATGCACATACATATGTGGCCCTAACCCTCATTCCCTGCTAACCAACAGCAAGTCCTCCAGGGCTCAGGGGCTTGGAGCTTTTTGGTAGACGAATTCTAGGGTTGTAGGGTTTCCCGGCCAGGCCGCCCTGGATGTGAAAAAGGGTCTTAGGGTTTAGGGTGATTTGTGTGTAACGCTTGGTGTTTCTAGGGTGTAGGGTTGGGGTGCACTCTCATCAGGTATGCAAGGCTACCTACACCGTGCCGATGCTGGATCAAAAACGACATCAACCACCGGCAGGAATCATCGTCATGATCATGATCATGGCAGAACTAACTAGTCTAGCCTATTTTGGCAATTATTAACTGATTGATTACGTACTAGTATTGTTATTGTTACTATCGTTACTATCCCCGGAGTCAGGCGCTCCCCTCTGCTTTGGGGCTGGCGCCGGTTGAAGGGGGACCTCCGGGGCGGCACTATAAGAGCCCTATAAGTTTCAGGCTCGATGAGCGCCCCCTTCTTCCCCCCTTGGGCACACTCGGAAAACACCATTTCTTTGCCGGTAACGCGTGGTGCCAAGCCTCAGTTGCAGTTGTCAGTGCAGTGCATCTCAAGCCTGCGTCTGTTGCCACGATGGTGGCAGCTGGTGGCCCTACCCAAACCCACTACAAATCTCGGCTTCTCGGCCCTGGTGTGGCCGGGGGTGCGCTTGGGTCTTGATAGGAGCTGGCGGCTCCTGGCTCCTGTGGCTCCTGTGGGCCACGATGGTAGCAGCTGGTGGCCCTCCCCAAAGTATGTTGGACAACATCGACATCCCGGCCCTACATCCCTTGCATTTTGACAGTATTGTTTGGCTTCCATGCAATCAGCAAGCTTGTCATAAAAAAGGTTTCTTTGTCATGCTGGTTTTGCCTTTGCTTGCTTCTGCTGTGCGACGGGCCATGACGTTTTCGTTTGCGTCTTAACGCGCTCTGGGGGTGGAGACAACGCGGGCGCCCGTTCCCTTGCCAGGGGAGACTTCTCTCTCTCCTCTCTCTCTCTCTCTCTCTCTCTCTCTCTGTGCCAAATAGAAATGACGATATTTAATCACAATCAGAGCAGTAACCCTGAGCCTCAAACCCTGAAGCAGCGAGGGTATACCAAGAGAGTTCCTGCAGCTTGGCGATGAAGCGTTGCTGCCTTGAGGGGTCGTTCTTGTCCGGGATGGGAACCGCCTCCTCCAGCGTCCTCAGCGCCACGAAGGTTGTAAGGGTATATAGCGGTTTGGGCGATGGAGAATGGCTCGTGCCCTGAGGGGGACCAGGGTGAACCCTGGCCTAAACCTCGGGTTCAGGCGTAGTATGCTGCTGCTTCATAGTCTGCCATTCTAAACCAAATTTCTCCTCGCCCAGACTACTCCTCGCCCATCACCCACCCACCCCAAAGTGTCCCCAAAGAATCCCTGCAGTGCCCAACTCCAGAATCCTTTGAGTGCCCAACCCCAAGAGTATCCCCGCAGAATATTTGGAGTGCCCAACCCCAAGAATTTTTCAGGAGTGCCCAGCCCCAGAGTGGGCCCGCAAATTCTGTACCAGGAGGGTGGGAGATCTTCGATGCAAAATGGAATATGTAGACCCCCAAATGGGATAGACTTGCCTATTTTGGCGTATGGCACCACCCGGCCATCCAACACACACACCTATCCTAGGAGAACTATCTTATTCCCAATGCTTACTACTACCTCGGTGCCACAGCCTGAAGGGGTTCCTTGTAGAATCTGTTTCAGGGTTTAGGGTTACGGGTAAAACGAAAGTTTTAGCTTCTCGGATTCTCCAAGACTTTTGTAGCTTATGTGTTGCAATGAAGTAGAATGAGCTTGTTTGTTCTGGTTTGTCATCAACAGGCGTCTCTGTCATTACTCTGTCCTTGTGCTTACCAAATATCATAAAGTAGTTCTCCAAAAACAGGTCGTTCATCAACAGGTGTCCAACGTGATCAAGCACTTCTTGTATTTCAGGCTTTTTATCTACTACCTTCGTTTTCTCGTGTTCTTTCCTTTTTGCTCTGCAATTTATGCAGTTGCGCCGAGGTTGCCCCAACCTATTGCGTCCGAACTCCTCGGCAGGTTTTTTACTGTGGCATCTTGTGCATATGATTGTCTCCATCTGACTAACTAATACCACTATCCCTTTGAGCTGCTTCTTGTCTAAGCATTCAGAACAAGTCAAGGTGTGTTTAACATAATTGTGAGAGTGTTTACTGACACAAGATGTTCGTTTGAAACAATTGATATCTTAGACTTGTTTACACCGATAACACTTCCGAGTGGTGCTAGTATCGGGTGCACTATAAGCATCAAAATCAACGAAGGTCTTGTTTACGTTTATTCGCATGTTCTGCATCTTTTCATAATGAGAGATTATGAAAAGATTTGCCTTCCCTAAGATCTAATGAAACTAATTACGAATTTATATCATTTCCACACTCTTATGATGTGTTTTTGAATCTGTTCCTCACACGGGAGCAATGGGCTTGATTTTCTTCTGATGTTTGGGCAGGGGAACTATACACTGCTGGGTTTCAATGTTTCATTTAAACCCAAGAGCTGTAAAGCCCTCAAGGCCTTTCCACTGTCAAGTTACCATAGAAACTCTTTATTTATACACTAATCCATCACATTAAGATTATTCTTCAAAATAGTTACATCTTTGTCTATCCTTTCAACATCTGTCTCCAATTTCTGTATTCTTTGTTCACAATCCTCTGGTGTTACCATTTTCTGACCCCATCCCGTGCCACAGATTTCAACCGATCCTAATTTGGTCTACCGCGCCTTCTTTGTAAATACCATTGTCTGGAGTGCTTCCTCTTCCAACCTTCCAACTACTCTTATCCACAATGGTTGTTTTACCTTCATTGTTTATTTTAGTTTATTTGTCAAAAATCCGTGTTCAAGTGGAAGCCACCTTCCTTTGATTCTTTATGATTGTCACTCATTAACTTTCCTAGATTCTTTAAATACTCAAGAACTGCCTTAAGCAAGTCTGAAACGGCGGTGCAACACCTTTTTTTAAGCTCGGTATCTCGTATGATAACCTTCTCTACTTCTTCAATCTCTTCTATCGCTTCTAAATAATTGTCCATTACACTAAATGGTACATAATTCTTGCTCAAATAATGCGTGAAGTTCGTCTTAAACTTAAAATGAAATTCCGACACGCAAAATGAGCTGAATGTAACAGATCGTGCCCATCATATACCTGTGTGTATTCGCTGTGCTCTGTGTATTTCAGTATGTCGTCCAGCAATGTGATGACTTTGCATTCCGTGGGTTCTTCCTTCTCATTAAGGTGATAACCTGATGCTGCCTTAACAGACATGCTATAGTTGCTGTCATTCGGTAGCATCTGCCGTAACATACTCAAATGATCATTCGCTGTGTATATATCGTTGTTCTTCACTATAGATAGCGTATAAGGCTGGGACATTCTGATTTCCCCTTATTGCGTCGCGTTTATAAACGCGGGTGTCAAAGACATCGCGAATGCTCACTTGCAGGTTGAGATGGACAAACAGCTTGATCATGTCTGTTATTGATGCCCCTGTTGCTTCAAAAATCTTCTTCCGTCTGATTTATGATTTTTCAAACGGCTTCCATGGTGAGTTTATTATTTTTCTCGCTTATCGTCCTCCGTAAGAGAACCTTCATGAAAAAATGGTTTAGGGTGTTGATTCAACACTGGTTCTTCACATAATGCTTTACTTTGATGGCTTCCTTCAAGGTCTCATGCTGTGGGTCTAGGGGTGTCTGGATAAACCTATGATGCATACTGACATACTCTGTGTTGGCTAGGTCTTCCTCTTGTGGCTTGAAAGCATCGGCGTTAGCAACCCTTTCAGCGTAGTTAACTTTCATACAAGCAATGTAGCCTTCGGCGTAACCGACGTCGGCTTTAAAACTGCCATCTGTCATTAACAAGCCTTGAGTGTACGACATATTTTCGTTTCTTTCTTTTCATACCTGAAAGTGTGTTTCCCTACAAGTTGCTCAATCCATGGTGTCGTTTGCAGACATTAGAGGTTAAAATGGTTCACACACACCGGAACGTGTTCCCTACCCCGGGTGTCTCTGAACGATGTTGATCATATGCCTTTATCTGCTTCTGTCTTGAGTCTGCATAAATACACATTGACTGAATACGTTCTTGGCTCTCTTGAGTTGGGTTTTCCTGTTCTTTTGTTGTCTTCTTTTGCTTGTGCCATTCTCTGACCTAGTTGTTCTTTACCCTTGCGCTTGTCGTAGATCTTGTTGTGATTTTTTTCTGTTTTTGCAGTGGTGAGTTTCCTAATTAAATTTTCTGCTGTGGTGAATTGGACGATCTTACGATCAGAATATAAATTGATTATGTTTTGGACTTGTGTTCTGGTGGCTTGGGAGAAGCGGTTTCGGCGGTTGTTGTAATAATCTCGCAGTGATTCAAATGCTGATTACTTGCTTTGGACATATACTAATGAAATTGAAACCCAAAAATTAAAAGCAGTTTTCCTTTTAAGTATATTTGGCCAAAGATATTTTCCATAGTAAGTGTTTTAAATGATTGATAATTGTTATTTCTCAAGAAACTGGTCTGAATAAAAATATAGTATATAGTATAGTGATATGAGTAAGAAACCTGAGGAAATGACGATGGAAGATGTCGAAGAACAACTCGCAATCTACAACAGACTGTATTATCACAAGCGCAATGAGGACGATGCATCTATGCAGAAGTATAGGGAATCCGCGCAAAGAGACAACCACAGAAAGAAGATCCAGGAGTATGAAGAAGCTAACAATACCAAACTGAAGCCCGATGAGATCAATGATGACCTTCTATCAGAACTTATGAATGCCAAAAAGCCTCTGAAAGCGAAGCGTGGCACACCCAAATATGATATGAGTAACTTCAAGATCATAATGCCGATTCCTGAATGATGTTGTAATTTAATTAGTAAATCGTTGTTTGTGTTTGTTTTTGTACGAGTGAAAAACAAAAATGATTCATGATGTCCATTTTGATCGCGCGGGGCTGCATTTGCATTCTTTTTCTTCGTTTGTAAAGAAATGCACGAAACGAAGAGAAAGAACGAAACGTGCAAGAAATTTATAATGGAAAAATATTAAATCCTAGAAAGAGAACAGGATTACAATAATAAATAGCAAAATTACCAAGAAATGAATAATAAAGAGAGAAAAGTGTATGAAATTCATAAATTTATTATCAAAATCCTTTGTCTGGTGTGTTCACTTAATTCATTAGGATTTCAATATTTAGTTTATTGGCTTCTTTTCCCTATTAAAAGGCTTTGCATAATAAACCAAGAATTATTAATTAGCAAATGAATGCATCCTAAAAGTACTTCTAATGAGTTCTCTGGGACGCACGAAATGCATGAATTTAATGAACGAAGTATTAGGGGGTTTTAAAGGGGCCCTTATAATATAATATTATTGCCCCTTTATAGAAACCCCCAAGAAAGATAGAATGCTTCTTGGATGATTTGTTCCTTGGCAGTCAATGGTCAATAATTCTTGGTTATAGACGGTTATCTGTTAAATCCTGTACTGCGTTCATACATTCATTACGTTTATTGCACTTACTACGCGCGTTTATAAACTAATTCAGGTGTAGGGGTTGCTATTATATTATATATTATGCACTATGTATTATATATTACAGATTAAATATTATATGTGATATTATATTATATATTATCTTATATTATATTAGATGATACTATATTATACAACAGATTTTATTATGTTATATTATATTATATGATATTTTAGTATATTATATATTGTTATATTACATTATACTATGTTTATATAGACAGATATATATATATATATTCTTATGTTATACTACATAGTAACTATACCATTATCATAATGTCCCAAACAAGTACATCAATAAAAAAACACGAAAATCTGACCACGGGACCGGGAAACCACGGGACCAGAGGACGAGAGGACCACGGGACCAGAGCACCAGAGGACCGTAGGACCAGAGGACCAAGGGACCAGAAGGCGAAGCGACCAGAGGGCCAGAGGACCAGGGGACCAGAGGACCAAGGGACCAGAGGACCAGGGGACCAGAGGACAGGGGACCAGGTGACCAGAAGGCCTGGGGCCAACGTTACCAAGGCCACCAAGCCAGGGCCAACGTTAGGAGAAAAAAAAACACCGGGCCCTGCAAACTGGAGCACTAAAAGACTGAGGACATGCTGGCAAGTTGCAGGGGGGCGGAATTATCCCCCCTCCCCCCCCCCCCCCCCACCCACCCCACCCAAGAAACCACGCGGCGAGATACGCGCCGCGCTCCAACTACATGTAAGCAGCGAATGCTAAACGGGATCGGGTCTATCCTGATCGAGGCACCGGTGATGAAGTTAAGGTATTTAGGAAGCAGACACCCGATGAGAAGAGAGTGTGGGCAATTTCAGCCAAAATTTTATACCATGGAAAGAATAGATGAACAATTGGGCCACCCTCCTAGAGTCAAACCCTCTGGTAAAAGGTTTAGGGTTTAGGGTTCCTAACCTACTATAATGTTAACCTCAAATTTATAACCCCCCCCCCTCCCAATTAAGGAATCCGGATCCCGGAACTCAATTATAAACCCCCCGCCTCAATTAAGGAACCCCGGCCGGCCCGGGGACCGATTTTTTTTCTATTGGCCGTTTTGGGTAGGTCGGGGCTTGGGGGCGGCCGGGGACAGCCCGACCCCCCCCCCCCCCTCAATTGGGGGGGGGGGGGGGGGGGGGTAGGGGTGGCGGAAACAAAAATCAACTGAGACGGGGGAGGGGGGTAATTAATTCGAGGTCAACATTAGGGGTCTGCATAACTACGCCTCTTATTCCCTGAGATTCCTTTTTGTTGTCCCGTAATAACTCTCCAGCCTATGCTGTTCAGGCGCCTATAGAGCTCCTCCCCCAGAAGGAGGCGAATAGTCGCCGTCTGTGGTGACGGTCTGTGGTGATCTCCTCCAGGGGGCGGGGTTCGTTTCAGGTTAGGGCAAAGGGTTAGGGTTCAGGATTCAGGGTCAGGGTTTAGGGTTAGGGGTTAGGGTCTAGGAGGATTGAGGGTTTAGAGGTTGCGGTTTAGGGTTAACATAGGGTTTAAGGTCAGGGTTTCGGGTTTGGGCCAGGGTTGAGTTGCAGAATGATTTCACTGATCATTCTCGGGCTGGATGTTTGCGTCCCATTCTGGGAGCGTGTTCAGGGCAGCCTTTACAGCAAGTAGTTGCACGTATTTCGTCGTGCCACATGACTTAGGATAGCTTTGCAAGAAGGAGGAGTGTCGCTCCGAAAAACCTTGGGGTGGCTGCTGTAGGAAATACCTCGTGGTCATAACCCAAGCTCTGTGGGCAAATAGCCTCACAAATCATCGTCATGCAGTGCCAATGAAGGCAATTTGCACGTTCAACATCACTCTAAGCCGAAACAAGCAGTCGTGGATTGTCTACAGCCAATTCCACTTCTCGTGCCGGAAGAGGAGCATGCTCGAAGTCGCGGAGGCCGCCGCAGAGACAGAGAACCAAAAGTCCCAAACAACTCAGAATCCAGAAAAGCCCTGTTGTAAGGACGACAGCCATTTTGAAAACAAAAAGGGCCCCGCAGCTGGTGAGCCATGCCCCAGGGGTGCTTGGCCACTCAAGCCACAAGATATCCCTTGAGGTGGGTGAATCCGCAGGCCAAAATAGCCAAACTGCTGGTGAAAGAAGTACACACATCAATGAGTTCCCATGTGTCGAACATATGCCCATCTTGGCCTTCGTCCTCTCCATTGCGTAGAAGTCCTGAAACAAGGGAGCTTCCTCGGAAGTGGTCAATATCCACGATCTGCTTTGTTCCGGTATAGTAATGAACAAGCTAACGCTGAGACCTGCCAAAAGGTTGATTACCCAGCTCGACGGTGATTCTGCTACTGCCCGGAGCAGCGCAATGCACTGCGCCATGGTAACTGCAACGCTCTGAAACAACTCAGATGCTCTGTGCTCATGCAAACGGAGCGTTGCAAAGCCTTGGGCAAGGCTCTGGGCCATGGCTTTAGCACCAGTGGTCGGGAGGGGGTCAAACTTTTCAGCAATTGCCAGCGTAACACCGGTCATTGCTACGGCCGCATAGAGGATCTGCCCGCATCTCACGAAGGTGATGATGGACAGCGCATCCAGGGCTGGCCCCAAGGACAGGAAAACCGCTGAGAAGCACAAGTTCCATTTGGAGGCTTCACGGTCCGAGCTGACTGAGATGCCTTACTTCTCCAATAGCCAAGGGGGAAAAAGGTTAAACTTTATTATTCCTACTAACAAAAGGAAACCCAAAAAGTTTAAAGTTTAACTATTGGCGAAGTAAGATGCAGCAGAGAGGTGCTTTGCAGCGTCCTGCGGCGAAGGGTCCGTTCCGCTTTAGTCTGTCCTGCTTTGGACCAAGGCGACAAAGTTGCTTGGGGGTGGTCCTCCAGAAGTAGACGAGCAACATGAACCTCGCAAAGCCATAAACGGCCGCAGCCACGTAAGCATGCCCAGCAGAAGGCCAAAGCCAAAGCCCAAACGAAGCCGTCTCCACTTTCCAGCACAGAATGATGTTGTTTGCATCGACCCCGAGGTCGGCGTCGGTGGCAAAGATGTACCCAAGCATAGGGGTCACCAGAAAATATTCAATATGACTCCTGGGACCTATGCTCTCATGACACCAGGGCAGGCATTCACCAGGTACGTATGCATTGGGGAAAGCGTCGGTGAACCCGTTTGTGCACTCACGTGGCGGTTTAGACGGGTTGACCTTAATTAGGGGACCCCAGAAGAAGGTTAGACCTCCGATGAATGTGACAACTAGGTTCCAGCTGAAGAGAAAGCACGCACATCTTTTGGCGTTCAATCCACGTCGGGCCATGTCGCCTGTTGACTCTTTGCGCAGGCCAGCAACTGAAACCTGCTACTGCTGAGCCTGGGCGAGCTGCAGGCGACACATGCGGTCGCTACAGTGGAACTGCAAACTTGAACATCTACACATGGCCCAGGCAAATTAACTCTCCTGGCCAGTGATGTGAGTCGTCGCAGATACTTGCAATGGAAATTTGTCTTCACTCCCATAAGTCAGTCCTTGTCTGCTCGGTCACGAGGACATCGGGGTTGTGGCCGATGAAAGCGTGCAGTCGCGGTCAGCTTCCCCCCAACCCGCAAGTATGAAGTTGCGAGACTGAATAAGAACCCCTTTGCCCAGGTAGGGTTGGGTCTAGCGTTGGTGGGGATTGGGGCTGAGATCATAAGATGGATTTCTATCCTAGGCTGGGGGGGGGGGGCTGAGATCTTGAGATAGAATTCTATCCTAGGGTGCGGAGTCAGGTGTTGTCATACACCTGAATCGGCAAGGTATGCTCCAACCTAAGTATGGTTCCCTTATCATAAGGACCCCCTAATAAGGTGCCCCCCCCCCCCCCCCCGCCCTTTGGGAAATCCCAAATAATGTTTCATGCGGGTGCCTGTGGGCAGGGAGCAGACAAGTGCAAGCAGAGACCAGGTTCGGGGCGGTGCCCAGTTGGCCAAAGATGAGGCGTGGCGGACCTTCTTCGCTGCTTGGGTTGGCTGAGGGTTTTGGGTTTGGATAGTTGGGCGTTTTTTTGGGGTTTGCGCTTTCTTGGGGGTTGGAGTTTGGGGTTTGGCAGGCAAGGCTTGTAGGTTGGTCGCGATCAGAACTGGGGGATTCACTTCCGCTGGCTCAGGGGAGTTCCCAGCTTTTTGCAAAACGGAAGCCGGGGAGCAATAGCCCCCAAATCCTCTGATACCCCGAACCCCTAAACCCTAAACCCTCCCTCTCTCTGCTCTGCTCTGCCTCTGCCCCTGCCCCCCTGCCCCTGCCTCTCTCTCTCTCTCTGAAGAGTCTCTTTCTTCTGCTTCTTCTTCTTCTTCTCAGTGCTTTGGAGTCCCCCCCCCCCCCCCCGAAGTTGTCTCTTTCTCTCTCTCTCTCTCTCTCTCTCTCTCTCTCTTCCTTACTTCTTCCTTCCGCTGCACTTCACCCCCGAGGGGGTCGCCCAGGAGGGCATGCTCCAGTGGGTCAGTTGGTGAAATTTCAGGCCTCGGGTGGGGTTGCTTCACGTTGGTATAGGGTCCCAATACTACTACTCCCGACATGTTTCCCACGACGAAATCAACCACCAGGTGGTCCAAGTGTTGGTGCAGGTCTGTTGGCATCAGGTTGTTGGTAACCACTATCCGTAAAATGCACATAGCCACCATTAACTCCCTCAGCCACAGATATCTGCCACCAAGGATTGCATGACATCGACCCCTGTGCGGTTCGGGTGATGCTGCTATTGATATCCTGGGTCTGTTGGCTCCGGGTTCTTGGGGCTCTCTCTCTCTCTCACTCTCTCTTTCTCTCGCTCTCTCTCTCGCTCTCTCTGTCTCGCTCTCGCTCGCTCTCTCTCTCTCTCTCTCTCTCTCTCTCTGTCTCTAAAACCCTAAACCCTACACCCGGAATCCTATACACCTTAAACCCTAAACTCCGACCCGCCTTGGGAGCTTCGGGTTCCGGGACCTCTGGTGGGGCCGGTGGCGCTGGCGGAGCTTCTTCTTGGAGCTCATCCAAGGAAGGCACACCTGAGAGTGGCTCGTGCTAAGGTGCGCGAGCTTGCAATAAACCCTTGAAGGGGGTTTAGGGTTTAGGGTTTAGGGTTTAGGGTTTAGGGCCTAGCTGAGATTTGTCTTTGTCATGGCGCCCGAGGTTCGACTGCAACTTGCGTAAAGCAAGGCTCCCCTTTGAACTCCTAAGCCCAGCCCAGCCACTAATACAGGGACCTCAATAATTAGAATAGGGTTTTGAGGGTTCTTAGAGTATAATTTTAAAAGGGACCATAAGGGAATATTATTAGCAATTACTCCGACCCTATATTAACCCAAGGCCAGCTTCCCCTAAGGTTCCCTGCGTACCTGCACCCCCATGAACCCCCCTCCCCTAAGAACCCTCAAAGCTAACCCACAAAGCTTGCTTGAAACCTGAAGCTGAAAGCAAATAGACACGATAAACCTCGCCCCTTTTTAACTGCAGGTTCAGGGTCGGGGGTAAGCCCGTCTGGACCCTAACCCCTAAACCTTTTACATCCAAAAGCCTGGGAGTTCTGGGCGTTGGGTCTAGGACTCATAAGTTAGGGTTTCGGGCTTGGGGTTCAGAGGGTTGAGTTTCGACTCTCGCAGTAGCACACTCGCAGGGTTGAGTTTAGGGTTTGGGGTTCATAGAGTTTAGGCCGCATCTCAGGCGGAAGCGATCCAGCTCCAATTCGGAGGTAATGGTCTGGGCATCCATGAGGTGGGTTTCGGTCCAGGGTTTAGGGTCATACCTTGGGAACCAAGACGAACCCTAAAAGGGTCTAGTTCTGGTCTGTATACCTTAAAAGGGATCATACTGGTATGGCCCTTCTTCAGCCACAGTATGAGAAATATGTGCCCCTTGACACCCCTCTCCCTGACACCTGCCTGGTTCCCTCAGTTTAGTCCGGAGCTAAAGCGAGCTTACTGACTTACTTGCTGGGGTGGGGCCTAGAAACCAGATCTGACCTCATCCGTGCGTATCACAGAACTTCAACCCTAATTAGTAGGGCAGAGGATTAGGGGGAACCTCGGGGATAGACCCTCTCAATAAGGTCCCTGTTTAAGAGAGTCAAAAGAAGGTTCAGAAGGGCTCCCCTTTAAGGGCCCCTCTAGCCTCAAAGTAGTGGGGTTCCGCGTAGACCACAGAAAGATGTCGAAAGAGGATTCAAACCCAGACTCTGTCAATGGATGAGGCACTGAATCCTTGGCCCTGAATCCCCAAACCCGAAACCCTAAACCTCTTATGGGAATGGCGCGAGCTGGGGACCCAACTTCGGGGAGTGTTTGGGGTTCAGGGCAGGGGCACTGGCACTAGAATAAGGCCCAGTGAGGCCGAGCACGGAATGCCTGAAGTCAATTTCATGCCCTGGGGCCCAGAAGTCTCCTAACTGATGTCAGAATCCCCCTGAAATGACGGCTTCAGGACCCGCGAGCCCGTTGAGGCTTTCGACCTGGACCATCCAGGCGGGTTTTCGGGTTTAGGGTTTTAGGGTTTACAGAAAGGAAACCCCGATCGAACCTTTCAAGGAAGTTAATGTGCTCAAAACCGTTCCTCATCAACGCCCTACTTCCCTTTCTTTACCGCACATAAAGCATAAGCCCCTTTGAACGGCCCCTAAACCCTAAACCCTAAACCCTAAACCCTGAACCCTAAACCCTAAACCCTAAACCCTGAACCCGAATGTTGCTGGGGAGGCCCCCTATAGCACTCTTCATCCTCCCAGTCTCGCACCATCAGCTGTGGGGCATCCTCGGTCTGCTTGCTCCGCGGGCCCGGCGAGTCGTCTGTTTGGCTGCGGGGTTTAAGGTTTATCGGGTGTTTTTTAGGGGCTTATCAGGCTGATATGGGGTTTATAGGATTCAGGGTATATAGGGTTTTAGGGGTTTATAGGGTATAAATAGGGTTTTTAAGGGTTTGTATAGGGTTTAAAGGGCTCAATAGGGTTTATATGTCTTATAGGTTTTCTAGGGTTTATTTACGATTTGTAGGGTTCAGGGTTTATAGGGTTCAGGGTTTATAGGACTTAGGGGTTTAAGGGGTAGATAGGGTTCACAGGGTTTACCGGGTTTGTAGGGTTTGCCGCTCACTCTCGCACACGGCATGCAAGGCTTCTGGAGGTCACTGTTTCTTTGGCCACTCAGGGTTTAGGCATTTTGCCTACTATAGGCGCCTGAATAATTGGAACAAGGTTTTGGAGCTCATTGTAGTATATTTCGAAAGGGACCTTATATGGGAATACCGGTAGTAAATTCTTCCGACCCCTATAGTAGCTGACCAAAGCCACACAGCAGGGTTACTTGTCTGTTAGGCACTCTCTGGCAGAAACGCATCTGGCTCTCCCATTGAGCTGCTGAACCTGGAACCCAAACAAAGGGGTCGTGTTGTCCTTGCCTTTGAGGTTTGGGGTTGAACTGAATGTGGGGCTATCTTTTTAGGTGCACCCCTCTGGCGGACTGTTGCAACTTCCTCATCTATGCGCACAGAGGCAGGCTTCAGCGCAAATGCAACAATCATGTCAGCCCGTCAGCCCCCACCCTGTACAAGCTCCCAATTCGAATAAGAAAATTGAGCACAGTCACTGAGAGCTCGCTTGGGATGCCTACGTCCCGCACCCTAAACATCCCCAAACTCCAAGCCCCAATCATACTCTAAACCCTACAACCCTGAGGACCCCACTTATACTCACGCCAAACCCCACGGGCCTTCCTCCTCAACTTCCATGAAGACCGTGGCGGTGCGGCTGGGCCGCAAGCCTGACTGGTTTAGAGTTTGTAGGGGGCTCAGGCAGCAGGGTTGAAGACCACATTCTGTGCCACAAAATCTGGGGTGCACGCTCTCATCCCTCTTGACGTCCTCTGCAACCCAGAGCAACTTAACCGGGACATCGTTGAACAAATGCCAGGTATAGATTCAGCAGCCAGCTCCAAGGATAACCAATATCTCGGCGGAAAGGCTAGGGGGAGTGCTAACTTGTGCCAACTGCTTGGCTTACGCAAAAGCAGCAGATGCAAGGTGGACAACAGTTACCTATGTTCTACATGCCTCGAGACCTATTTTCGAAGTCGGAACTGAACAGGGGTTGACCTTTGCGAATGTGCAGGGATCATACCAAACTACCGAGCAAGAGTCCCCTGAAGCCTTGGTTGTTAGGCCCTCAACTTCAAGCCTGCAGATTTCAAAGACTGCACTTGCCTCTCTGAAAAACGTGCGTCCTGTAGCGCTTGGCGGAGGGCCGCAGAGAAGGCTTTTTGGCTGAGGACTATCTCCGCCTTGGCTGCCTGGATGCGGCTTTGGGTTGAAGGTGCCGACCAGGCGAGGGCAGAGTTAATTTTGGGTTGGGTTTTCGGGTTCGTTCGGATTCAGAACCCAAAGGTCCCCCAAAACTTTGCCCCAAACCCCAAACCCTAAACCCTGCACAAGGAAGGCTGAGTGATCCGACCACCATGACGCTGTCTGGCTGAGGCGGCCAGCGCAGAGCAGGCTCCAGGCCTTGGCGCGGCTGTAATCTGTGTTTCTGGAGGTTTCGACGCTCACTCTCGTGCAGGTTTCGAGTTTAGGGCTTTATAGGTGGTCTAGGGTTTGGCGCTTGCATGGAGGGCGGATATCAGGTCTTGCTGGAGGGGCGGCCACTCGAAACTGCAGGTTTTTGAGCTGACAAGTTCAACGTTGCTTTGGTCTAAGCCAAGCGCAGGCGAGAAGGTAGCTGGCGGAAGCAGGTGTGACCCACCTCGCGCAGAAAGCTTGGACTATAGTGTTCTTAAGGGAGGGGGGTTCATGGCAGGTACCTAGGGAACCTGAGGGAAGCTTAGGGAGCCTTAGGGAGTAGTGGGAAGTAGTAGGGAATCTTAGGTTACACACCCCCCTTGAAGCCCCCTCCCTTAAGAACCCGAATTACAGCTTAGGGTTAAGGATAAAATGGGCGTAGGGCTGAGGGCATGAGAAGCACATGCCTGAGGTTTGGAGTTTGTGAATCTGCGTCCCCTCTTAATTGGAGAGCGCCTTTGGCTTTGGCTACGTGGTTGTGAGGGCCTCAGAGTCTCAGAGTGTTCCAAACGTAAGACCTGCAAAGGAGCAAACATGGAAAAACACTTTAAAGCTTGCAATAGATAAGCCTGTTCGGTGCAGCGCAGAGTCAAAATCCTAAGCCCAAACACGCCCGAAAACATCTGAACCATTGAGACCTTTGCCGGCAATCCCTGGGCTATCGCCCCAGCCCAGCTCAGCCGTATAGTCCCACAAGGCTTAAGGGACATCCATACGACTTCATTCATAAACTCTGACAACAGTGACAACAGGGATCACATACCCCATGGCAACATCAACTCTACTACGGCAGATGAACCACAAACCCTCGTAAGGCTTCTGTTGAGTAGTCCCCAAAAAGTACAAAGTACCCGCTACAAGGCCTGTCTCGCTTCAAAGCGTTAAGAGACCCGAACAAGACCGGAACTTCGTCTGAACCCTCAACTTCTGATGCTTATGATTCTTATTATCATTATTATTATGCATACTATTATGATTATTATTGTTATTATTCTTATGGCTTCGTAAACTTAAGTTGCCAACTAAAGGCGAGCGACAGCAGTTCCCAGTGAGGGACTCCCTTGGCGTCCGCTTCCTGCCGTGAGTCTCAGCTGAAAACAAAGGGATTCTGCATGCCTGGCCGTAGCCTGCGCAACTTGTCTCAGAATCGGTGATCGCAGCAGCTGAGTATCCAGTGGTTAGGGGTCGTACATCGCAGAGCGTAGCCTAATCCCTTCTGCTGAGCACTTCAGCCGGACGACAGAACTAAACTTTTGCAAGCTGCCAATGGCAAACGTATTGGAGGCGAGACAGTAACAATAATATATCAGGTAGTACTTGGAATCCCAATCGTGTATAAGACTCACAGGCAGTAACCCGGACCACAAAAGCCGTGAACACACGCTTCTTGCTAAAAACCATACGAATCCCAGATCCCTCGGCCCTCGACCCCCCCCAAGAGCAAACAAAACGGATGGATGAGTCCTGGGCCCACTGGCTGAGAGCATCCTGCAACGCGCTCCTGCAGTTTCCGCACAGTGACGACCCCCAACGCTGTAACAGCTCAGGGTTCACGAGGGTTTTGAGGCTTTGAGGTTCCGTTCGGCCGCTCTCCCTGAACCCTAAACCCTAAGCCCTGAGGATTATGAGGATGAGATGGTTTTTTCCCTCCTGCACAGCTGGGCAGGAGTTGAATGGCAGGGATGGTTTTGGGAAGCCTTGAACCTATCAGCACATCTCGGAGAAACTCTATTCGCCGGCGCATGGATGCACCAGAAGCTACACCAACCCCTCTCCCTAAGGCTTCAAATAACCCAAAGCAGGTATCATTTGCAGACTTTAGACCCCAATGTAGGTATTATTTGTATACTTGGAGCCTTAGGGTATAGCCAAACTGCAACTCTCAATGCGGCGATGCGGGCCACACTAGGCTCAAGGGACTTCTGGGCGTCCTGAGGCTGTCGGAGCCGTGATGGCTTTCTGAACGGCCTGGCTGAAGACAATCGGCCCAAAGCTACCCCCTAAACCTATAATCTCATAACCTAACCCAAATTTAAAGATGCTTCTAGCAAGAACAGGGCAATGTCGGCTGCGGGAGTCCGACAAGTCCTGGTGGGGTCATCCTGGCATTTCCTCACATTCGCCAGTTGCGGTGCCTCTAAATCTGTCAAAGTGGAGCTGCTGCAATATATCCGCATGTTGGTCATAAGGTAAGCAGATGCCCTGCATTTAGGCAAGTTAAGTCGTGTATGCTATTGAACTGTAGCCACAACAACTCTCCACGGCGTTTGGGACCTTGTCTCGACCCTACGTTCTCATCCAGTGCTGGATGTGGCCCCAAACTGTTACTTGCCAACACACACACACACACAGACACACACACACACACACACACACACAGAGACACACACACACACACACACACACAGAGACACACACACACACACACACAGACAGACAGACAGACAGACAGACAGACAGACAGACAGACAGACAGACAGACAGACAGACAGACAGACAGACAGACAGACACACACACACACACAAAACCGAGAGAAGATTCTAAAGCCCCCCGGTCCCTGAAACCAAAGCGTGAAACCCTGAATTTCTGCACCCCTCTGTCTACAAGGAACAATAGATATACATATACATACATGCATGTATATATAAATATACACATACATATATTCATACATATATCTATATATATATATATATACATCTAGTCACCTGATTGAGGCTGCCGCAGTGTTGCCACGTCTCGACACCGAAGCCGCCCACAGGCGCTTGAAAAGGAACAAGGATCTCCTGACGATGGTGTGCGCTCAGCGGAGCACATGAGGGCGTTGCGCCTGTTGTTTGGCCTCCTGCCGAAGTCCGCAGGGCAGAAATCGCTACGAAGTTGGTTTGGGCACCGCAAAGAAGAAGGTGGACGATTCGAGGGTGTGCGAGTAACTTTTCCGTGGCGTAACTCAGAACCAAACTTCTGCCGGAACTCGCAATTGTGTCTGCAACCTGGATGCGCTACAATGTTGAAGTCCCGATTTTGGGGTCCCCCTGTTCAATCGAATAAGAAGCCATCAAGAGCCCTGAAATCTGGAGCAGTCGTTGTGTCCCGGGTCACGTCGTCACAGTCCGTGATGACAATCCGGAAACCTTCTGGATGAGCAATGACCTGGGTTTTGGAAACTTGGTATGGCTTCGTCATGCTGCTGAGGAACGAAGGCCTTATCAGCTGGTTTCTTCGAATCCGAATAAGCTTTGCGGCTTTCGGCATTCTGCTATTTCATGGTTGCGTGGGGTAGGCGCGATATAAATGAAAGGGCAAACAAAACGCGCACAGCACAGCAACTTGCGCCGTCAACATCTGGCGACACAGGGGGTAGCCTTGTTGGTATTGTGTCTCCTGTTTTTACGAAAGGCGTTGAAACACGTCCCGGCACTGAAGCAGCTACCAGTCGACAGGCAGCTTGTCAACGCCACAGCTGTTCTTGACTACACGCAAAGTTTCAAAAGCCGAGATGATCCACTTCTCAACAGCAGCACGTGCCACCCGAAGTCAAGCCCGCACTGCATGAGAGGCCCTGGCGCCAACGCGGCAAGTGTTGCCAACAGTAGCTGCCGCCACGTAGAGGGGCGATTTTCGCAACACCTCCAGATATCAGTCTCGAATGTCGTCCGACGTTTAGGACTCTCATGGCTAGCGGGTGCTAAGCTTCACCTGTGCATGAGCTTGCTATGGCTGGAGTTCATTCTGCCTGCCAACAGCCTAGCTTTCCGCTTTCGACTGCCACACTCGCACACGCCAGGCAAAGCACACTGTCCGACGGCTCATGGCTGCCACTGCCAGCACTTCACCGGCATCTAAGATCAGCTAAGCTACCGACAACTGTTTTGGGATGCTCTGGGTACCTACTGCAGTGAGCACGTCCGTACCTTCCCAACACTTAGAGTTTTACATTGGCATGGTCTTCTCTTTTTTTCTTCTTGGGGGGAGGGGGGGGGGGTGGGGGGGAGGGGCTCCAAAACACCGAAGCGAAACTTGGGTCTCCGGTTCAGGCCCCAGTTGCACAAACTCTGCTTCCCCTTTGGTTCCAGGAGCCTCAGGGAGCGGCGGGTCTATCCTGAGCGCAACGCGAAGAAGTTGACTTTGGGTGTAGGGTTTAGGGCTTTTACTATATCAAGGCCTTAATGGTTAGCAGAGGGTTTCGGGGGTTATTAATCATAGTATATTTATAGTATGATTATAGAATAACTTCAGGTGCCTACAGTGGTTGGCTAGTTGCCGGGCTCACCCGGGCAATTGCTGTATGACTTGAAGGCCAGCGCGCAGCTGATTACCATGTGTCATCCACCTACGCGTCGGAGTTGACAATGAGATTACAAATTGCTATATACAGGCCTTAATAATTAGCAGAGGGTTTCGGGGGATATTAATCATAGTATATTTACAGTATGCTTATAGAATGACTATAGCATAACTATAGTATAACTACAAAGGGACCAGAAGGGAATACCATTCGTAATTATTCCGACCCTTATAGTATACAGCGGACCGACACCTGTGGATCACGCCATGAGCCGCGCAACCCTAAACCCTAAACCCTAAACCCTCAACCCTCAACCCTCAACCCTCAACCCCGAGGCACGCGCTCGTTGCGGCAGTGGCGGTGCAGCGTAGTGGCTGGCAGCCCAGGTTGCTTGTAGCGCACGTGCCTGGACGCACTTATTCCATAATACCCTAAACCCTAAACCCTAAACCCTAAACCCTAAACCCTAAACCCTAAACCCTAAACCCCTAAACCACTAAACCCAGAACTGCAGAGACGGCGCTGGATAGACTCTGACTTTGCATAGGGTCGGTCTGCAGTAGAAAGGCCTAGGAGCCCAAAGCCCATCCTGGAATAAGCCGTGCCAATTGTTAAGTACGGTGCCCAGAGTGCCCAAAGATCCCATCAGGCTTGCATTCTCGCTGCCCAACCCTGCGGGTCCATGTAACTCATTCTCATATACATGGGCCCCACAGTCCCTATATCGGAAGTCCTTTACGGCCCAAGTATTCCCTCTTTAGGTACATGGACCCTTATAGGGTAAATGCCCCCCCTAACTCCTCAATGCAGCTCAGAGCACCCTCGTGGAACCAAGAGCTCAAACTCCGCCAGCGTCAGGCCCGCCATGAAGGGCGTGTCCGCTTGGGTCTCAGAGCTTGGGAGACTCGACTTGGGTGCTGTTTCTCATGGATTTCTTTCCTAAGCCCTATAAACCCTGAACCCTAAACCCTAAACTCTCTTGAACCCAGCTGTCCTGGCCCACATTTCCTAAAGACCAAGAATACCTGGCCGTAGGAGACTGAGGTCGGGACTGCTAGGAAAGCAACAGACACCGAGGCCTTTCCTAATCCCTGATCCCCAAATTGCAAGAAGAAATTCATGTAGCATCCTGCCTGGGCCCTAAAGCCCCCCAAGCTCTAAATTTAGGCATCAGCCTGGGCGGAAAAAGGGGATCTCTTCTTGGGACTGTGGGTGTCCGGTGTCCGAACTTCTTTTGAATTTAGGAATCAGGGAACTTCGTTTCAAACACTTCTTGCGTATTGGGATGTTCCCCCTTATTCTAGCAGCCCTGAATAGGGATTATGGTACCCCCTAGTATAGTCACAACCAAGGACGGTTAGTCCTTAATAGGGATTATAGTACCCCCCTTGTCATAATCCCAATCAAGGACTGTTCGTATAAGGGGGAACCGGAAGTATGTCGAAGCCGTGAGCCCTCTGGGATGTCTGTCACCGGCGACTCGCACCTAATTTTATGGCCCTTTTTGGGCCCCGTCACTATGTAAGGACCCTTAACCCTACAAACCCTAAACCCTACATCCGAAACCCTGCACTATACTACTGGAATAGTAACCCCACAGGGGATCGTAAGTCAATAGGGTTTGGGGTTTAGGGAATATATAGAGTTAGCCCCCTAGATATCGCACTGCAGTCCATCTCTTGCCCAGGCACGTATTGCACCTTCTCGGACACGATGGTGGCAGCAGATTGCACCCACCTCTCTTAGCAAGGGGAAGGGCGAGGAGTATGGGGAGGGGGAAGGAAAGGGTTTCAAACAAAAACCTCCCCTGTGTCCCCTAAACCCTAAACCCTAAACCTTAACCCTTTTTGAGCACGGACTGAGGGGCAAACCCTAAACCCTAAACCCTAAATAGATCCTACAGAGCTGAAGAAATCCCCTGAACCATCCTACCCCTTCTCCGCATTTTCAAATACAAATGCAGTTGTTGGTTCATGTTTTTTCAATCTTGTCACATACATCTTGTATGTTAATTTCGCCCTTTATACACCCGCAAAGAGGGAATGCCCATCATTGTCTGGCCTCATGGCTGGCATCTGATTGCTGCGCCCGGGGAGCTGCAGCCACACCGGGTCGACGCTGGCATCCTCCACCTGCGTGTTCTTACCCTAAACTACTGTTTCTCTTCTACTTTTTGCTTAAGAGCCCCCCCTTGGAACAAAAACTGGGAAGATGCAATTCCTTAGGGCAATCTAGGGATGATTGTCTTTTTATTTGCGGGGTTCTTGAGCAAGTAGTAAACCTTAATGCCCTCATCCTGAACTGAAGCTTTGGCTGACAGCCCACATTTACCCGAGAAGGATGAGGGGCATCCCGATGCTTCAATGAAGTCGGGAGGGACGGCCCTAAACCCTAAACCCTAAACCCTAAACCCTAAACCCTAAACCCTAAACCCTAAACCCTAAACCCTAAACCCTAAACCCTACACCCAAACCCGAAGCCCGAAAAGGCCCCCGAAAAGAGGCCCAAAGCCCTGCGGAGTCTGAGACCGGCACCACCAGGGAGCAGGCGTGCAGCAACCTGGATCCAAGTTTAGGGTTTAGGGTTACCCTAAACCCTAAACCCTAAATCCAAGTTTGGGGTTCAGGGTTCAGGGTGCTTGGATGTCAAACCGAGCAGAGCCCTCATCCAAGAAACATGGTTTTAGGGTCTAGGGTTTAGGGTTTAGGGTTTCCTAAACCTCTAGGGGTTCCACCTTGGGCGCTTCCTTAGCCTTGCTTCAGAATGACCGGCGGTTAGCACCCGGAACCTACTATTGAACCCCCAAAATCCTTCTGAAGCACGCCTTTTACCCAGAACCTACTCTGCAACCCCAATCTGTTTGTTTAAAGGAACCCACCATTTTTAGCCCATTGTAGCCTAGACCCTAAACCCTATAAACCCTAAACTACCCAAAACCCTAAACCCTAAACCCTGAACCCTAAACTATAGTCCCGACATGCAGCCCGGGAACTTGTGCCCTGCGGCACGGGAGATTCCCGCGTCGAGGTAGTGTTCCTGGCTTAGGGGTTTGGGGTTTACTCGGCGCTATCTCTGAGTCTGAGCAACTGAGCGTGACTGCACTGTGAACCAGTACATCATCGGGACCATCCCCCAGCAGGGGTTTGGGGTTTAGGGTTTGGTTTTTTTTTGCCGCCCGCATAGCTGAACTGCATGTCCACATGGCAGGGAATTGGCAATTTTGGGGTTTAGGGTTTTTTTTGCCACCCGCTTAGCTGACCTCTCGGACTTTGGGTTTAGGGTTTGGGGTTTGGGTTTTGGGGTTTATGGGCCGACTCCCTTGTAGAGATGCTTGTAGAGGGCCGTGGGGATTTTGTCAGGCCTACAGGAAACGTAGCTCCACAGACTTGTTAATTGTTACTGTACCTTGTAGCCCCTCGAAAACGCCCTGTACCGGGCCATGGCCCATCCTGGTTATCATGGTGCTGTTCTCGCAGGAGCCGTGATTTGGGTTAAGCCGTGCGCGGGACTTGGTTATTTTTTAAAGCTCAGGGGTGGTTTTGGCTGGTACTGCGTTGTCAAGTGAGAAGGCTCGTCTGGCATCCTCTGCTGGTCTAGTGAACTTGTCAGCTCGGGGCATGTTCCGACGCGCGCGAAATAAACGTCACCAAACCATGATGCTATCGGAAGAACTTTATGTGCATAGAATGAGCTCAAGTCCACAAGGAGCAAGTTGCCAAACAGCCTCTGCCACATCGTCTCGGGCACGCAATGCAAAAAGGAAGTCTCTCTCCTCGTGCAATTCTACCAGAACAACTGAAGCGCTTCATGCGCTTCTTCTTACGTAAGCAGCATCTGCATAGAAAGCACGTGAGAATGAAGCGCGCTGTGTAATGTAGCCGTGTGTGGTTTCCTGATACCTAGGCTCACATTACACTCGTAATCTCGGAGGTGTCTGCTTGCCGCAGCTCCTTTTGAGTGAGATTTCGCATCGTCGTAGCCTCGGCCCATGCTTCGCACACTGGCAGGCGACGGTTTAGGGTTCAGAGTTTCGGAAACACGGGGCAACCGCAATCTTGAGCCCCCTAATAGCCCCATACTTACACACCTCTAGCGACACACTGTCATGTACGTGAACGCAACAACCCTAAAACGCTTTTGTTCCAAGTTCCATGTGTAAGGCCGGCAGCCAATGTAAGCCGGGGCTATTCGGTATTGGTGCCGACCGGGGGTCAAGTTGCGCTGCAGAGTAAGCCTTTGTTGGCCTTAGCAGATCCCCAATCTAGGGCCAAAACATATGGATTTGATCGCTGATTTGGCGAGCATGGTGAACTCACCCACATGGCCGGGAAACCCCAAGTGTCCAATGTGGGAGCTGACGGCGAAGTTTCCCGGACGCATGGGGAGATTCCAGGGTGGACGGCTCTGCTCAAGGCGTGCTTGATGGGTCTTTGGCTTAAGGCAATGCGGGCTTGTACGCGACAGTTGGATTTATGCTGCTTCCCAAGGAAAGCGAGCTAAGATTCGGACATGGTATGGCTCTTGGCTGCCTATACCTTGGCGAGGTACAAGGGCGTTCTTCGTTCGTTAGTCTCTTTCATTAATCGGCAATCAGAAAATGTTCATGCCTCAGGACGCTTTGAGAAGTAAAGTACCTGCAGCGTTATCTACTAAGAACCATTGACTTGTTGTTAGTTAGCCCCAAGCCCTCAAAACGATGAAGCAAGATCGACCTGCTTGACAGGACCCAGACTGAGACCATGCAAGATGCAAGGCTCCTTGGTCCATAAACTCAAAAACTGCATTTCCTAGCCGGACTCGTAGCTGCTCCGAAAGAAAGGCCCTGTGCCTGAACCCGACATCATCATTACACGGATAACCGGAACCTTTACTTCAGCGTGTCAAGACACTAACGCACAAACAGCCCTCCCCCACCCCCCGGTGTGCAAATGCAAGCCCTCGTCGCCCATCTGATAGCACCTGATGCCAAGTTCGCGACAGCCACGTCGGCCATGGATCACCTTACTTGCTTCAGGGCTTCCTGGGCTTCGATGCTCACTCTGAGAAGCCTATTCAGCAGGTCGTCTGACAATTTCGGTGCGAAACACAGGGAGTGACCCCGTGGCAGTGAGCAAGCTGCCCTAATCCCTAAACCCTAAACTTTGTGGAATCGAAGGACTTCTGCAGCATGAGGGCTATTTATCACACAACAAATCCCTGAAGCCCGAATACGCTGAAGAACCAGACCCTACACTCTGAGCCGCATATCAAAGCCACGTAAGACCTCTTGAATCGCACCAAAGATACAAGCCGCACCAACCGGTAACCCTAAACCCTACACTCTAAACCCTAAACCCCCAAACCCTACACTCTAAACCCTAAGCCCCTAAACCCCCGAACCCTAAAAACTCTAAACCCCAAACCACATCTGGGGGTCCTGCAGAGAATCCGCGGGAGCCCAGGCCCCGAAAATCTGCTTCGGCCTTTCGCTATAGCTGGTTTGGGGTTTTATTTAGGGTTTAGGATTTCGGTCCACAAGACCCGATTCTGATGTTTAGGGTTTAGGGTTTAAGGGTTTAGGGTTTAGGGTTTCGCAGTAGGCATGGGCATGCTTCTGCAGCACATCCAGGCGCGCGGCGTCCGCGGCAGTTTCAGCCACGCACAGTCCCAACACCTGCCTCTGCAGCAAGCCGCCATGCACTTACAGGCTCTATGGGGAACATACACCCTAAACCCTAAACCCTAAACCCTGAACCCTGAACCTAAACCCTAAACCCTAAACCCTATACCCTAAACCCTAAACCCTAAACACACCAAGCTCGGAAGTCGGTAGAGCGCACCATGAATCCCCTGGCTGCTCTGATAGCTGCATATACCTTGTCTCTAGGAGACCTGTCGAAACCGGGGAACCACAAGGGAAGATGTGCGTGCATCGTCGTATCCCGAGGGCGCTTGCCAATCTTCGCACCAAATGGTTCTACGGTACTGTCCAGGATTGGCTATGAAGTAAAGCTTGTAACCCCTTAGAAAGACACTTTATAGGGTTGATTATGGGGATCACAAGGCCTCATGGCCCATCCTGGTTTCCGTTTCCTTGAACCCTTTTAAAAGTGCACACTCCCAAGCCTTTAAGGTTTGGCTCTTGGCATGTTTTTCGTACTTTACATCTCACGTTCTTTGAAGCTGGTACGTCTCAGCTGCCGGCCGAAATCCGCAACCACATCACTCACAGCAGTAGCTCCCCAAAAGGTGCCCCTTGTTGTTGAATGAAGTTTTCAAGAGAACCAACTCCCCTAAAAAGGGGGAACAAGGGTGCTAACATCCTAGTAGCCCACGGAAGAAACAACGCAGACACCAACTGAGATTCACCAATCTCAGTTCCCAGCTGTACAAAAGCGCTGAGCTCCTTGTTGCACTGGGTTTGCTGCTAAGGAACTTAGACTTTCACCATGCAGAAACATGGATATAAAGGAAACCCTGAACCCCAAACCCCAAACCCCAAACCCCAAACCCCAAACCCCAAACCCCAAACCCTAAACCCTAAACCCTAAACCCTAAACCCTGTTTTTGCAGCATGTTGACCTTCCGGCCAGCTCGAGGATTGTAGGTTTAGGGACTTTTGAGGCTTAGGGTTTGCAGAGGTGCGAGAGCTTCAGAGCTCCCTGCAATCAGGGCCGTGTGTGTTCTGGTCGACGGAATTTTCGGAAACCAGAACGGTTGAATCAGAAACCAGAACGGTTGAATCAGAAACCAGACCTGAATCAGAAACCGAAACGGGAAAATCAGAAACCAAGCTTGAATCAGAAACCAGGGCGGCTGAATCAGAAACCCAGACGGCTGAATCAGAAACTGAAAACGGGAAATTCGGAAACCAGGAAACGGATGTTTCAGAAACTAGCGAACGGCTGATTCGGAAACCGGCAAACGGCTGATTCGGAAACTGGCAAACGGCTGATTCGGAAACTGGTGAACGGCTGATTCGGAAACTGGCAAACGGCTGATTCGGAAACTGGTGAGCGGCTGATTCGGAAACTGGCAAACATCTGATTCGGAAACTGGTGAACGCCTGATTCGGAAACTGGTGAACGGCCGATTTGGAAACCGGAGGGTTTAGGGTTCAGGGGGTTGGGTGTAGGGTTTAGGGTTCAGGGTTTAAGGTTTAGGCTTTAGGGTTAAGGGTTCAGGGTTTAGGGTTTAAGGTTCAGGGTTTAAGGTTTAGGTCTCAGGGCTCTTGCAACTTGAGCAACCGGGAAATCAAACCTAAGCTTTTTACGGGTCCAAGAGCCGCGGCGGCCCGCGAAGGGGTTTAGGGTTTATGGTTCAGGGTTTTTAGGGGCGCGTGATGTACTCCTCAGCTTTGAGCGCAATTGCTGGAAAGCTGTTTCTGACCCCCCACCGCGTTTGCAAAAGGCAATTTCTGACATGGGCTGGCCACCTGTACGCGACTGCCCCCCCCCCGCCACCCCCCCCCACCCCGTTTCTGAAAAGCAGTTTCTGACATGGGCTGGCCGCCTGCACGCGACTGCCCCCCCCCCCCCACCCCCCCACCCCCCCCCACCCGTTTTCTGACCCCCCACCGCGTTTGCGAAAGGCAGTTTCTGACATGGGCTGGCCGCTGCACCCGTTTTCTGACCCCCCACCGCGTTTGCGAAAGGCAGTTTCTGACATGGGCTGGCCGCCTGCACGCGACTGCCCCCCCCCCCCCCACCCCGTTTCGGAAAACGACTGCCCCCCCCCCCACCACACCGTTTCTGAAAAGCAGTTTCTGACATGGGCTGGCCGCCTGCACCCCCCCCACCCCCCCCACCGCGTTTTCTGACCCCCACCGCGGTTTGCGAAAGGCAGTTTCTGACATGGGCTGGCCGCTTGCACGCGACTGCCCCCCCCCCCCCCACCCCCCCCCCACCCCGTTTCTGAAAAGCAGTTTCTGACATGGCTGGCCGCCTGCACGCGAAGCAGTTTCTGACATGATGGGCGCGACTGCCCCCCCCCCCCCCCCCCCCCCCCCCCCCCCCCCACCCGGTTTCTGAAAAAGCAGTTTCTGATTCGCGTGGGCTTCAGACGCGCAGTTTCTGACTCGCAGTTTCTGATTCGCGTGGGTTTCTGATGCGCATGTTTGCAGTTTCTGATTCGCGGTGGTTTCTGATGCGCGGGGGTTTCTGATGCGCAGTTGCTGATGCGCGCAGTTTCTGATGCGGAGTTGCTGATGCGCGCCAGTTTCTGATGCGGAGTGTCAGATGCGTGGCTGGTTTCTGATGCGCAGTTTCTGATGCGCAGTTTCTGATTCGCGGTCCAGTTTCTGATTTTCCTGTTGTTCGTAGGGTTTAGGGTTTAGGGTTTTAGGGTTTTAGGGTTTTAGGGTTTAGGGTTTAGGGTTTAGGGTTTAGGGTTTCGGGTTTCGGGTTTCGGGTTTCGGGTTTAGGGTTTAGGGTTTAGGGTTTAGGGTTTAGAGATTCCCCCAA